TCCACCATTAGAACCACCACCCTCCCATTGATCCACCATTAGAACCACCACCCCCCCATTGATCCACCATTAGAACCACCACCCTCCCATTGATCCACCATTAGAACCACCACCCTCCCATTGATCCACCATTAGAACCACCACCCTCCCATTGATCCACCATTAGAACCACCACCCCCCATTGATCCACCATTAGAACCTCCACCCTCCCATTGATCCACCATTAGAACCACCACCCTCCCATTGATCCACCATTAGAACCACCACCCTCCCACAGCGAACGTCTAGGTGTATCTAGAGATAAGTGTTCAGTTCTTTGAGGTTGTCGTTAAATAGATTGTGTGCTGCCGACAATCTGACCTACTTCCAACAGGCAGACATACGGACCACATACTGACATACTGACATACTGCCAACAGACTGACCTACTGACCACAGACTGATCTACTGACCTACTGCCCACAGACTGACCTACTGACCTACTGATCACATGCAGAACTACTGACAACAGACTGACCTAACTAACTGAACACGGACTGACCTACTGACCATAGAGTGACCTACTGACCATAGAGTGACCTACTGCCCATAGACTAACCTACTGACAACAGACTGACCGACTGACCTACTGACAACAGACTGACCGACTGACCTACTGACAACAGACTGACCTACTGACCTACTGACAACAGACTGACTTACTGACCACAGAGTGACCGACTGACCGACTGACCACAGACTGACCTACTGACCACAGAGTGACCTACTGACCATAGAGTGACCTACTGACCATAGGGTGACCGACTGACCACAGACTGACCTACTGACCACAGAGTGACCTACTGACCATAGAGTGACCTACTGACCATAGAGTGACCTACTGACCATAGAGTGACCTACTGACCATAGAGTGACCTACTGACCATAGAGTGACCTACTGACCACAGAATCTGTGTGGAGCCTGTAGACGCCGCCAGCGCCGTAGTTGAGCACTTGGAAAGGTTCGGCTGGAGTGGCGTGGTCAGTTCTTCTTGTATCCAGCCCAGTGATCTGACCGACACGCATGGATAGTTTGTGAAGTGTCGCTGTGTCGTCATCCAGCCAGGCGCTAAAAAGTGTGGGGAAGTGTGGGTTAGTGTGGGATGGTGTGGGTTAGTGTGGGATGGTGTGGATTAGTGTGGGATGATGTGGGATGGTGTGGGATGTTGTGGGTTAGTGTGGGGTAGTGTGGGATGGTGTGGGTTAGTGTGGGATGGTGTGGGATGGTGTGGGATGGTGTGGGTTAGTGTGGGATGGTGTGGGTTAGTGTGGGATGGTGTGGGATGGTGTGAGATGGTGTGGGGTTGTGTGGGTTAGTGTGGGTTCGTGTGAGATGGTGTGGGGTGGTGTGGGGTAGTGTGAGATGGTGTGGGGTAGTGTGGGTTAGTGTGGGATGGTTTGGGGTGGTGTGGGTTAGTATGGGATGGTGTGGGATGGTTTGGGGTAGTGTGGGTTATTATGGGATGGTGTTGAATAGTGTGGGATAGTGTGGGGTAGTGTGGGATGGTGTGGGGTAGTGTGGGATGGTGTGGGGTAGTTTGGTTTAATATGGGATGGTGTGGGATGGTGTGGGATGGTGTAGGATGATGTGGGATGGTGTGGGATGGTGTAGGATGGTGTAGGATGATGTGGGATGGTGTGGGATGGTGTGGGATGGTGTAGGATTATGTGGGATGGTGTGGGATGGTGTAGGATGGTGTAGGATGATGTGGGATGGTGTGGGATGGTGTGGGATGGTGTAGGATTATGTGGGATGGTGTGGGATGGTGTGGGATGGTGTAGGATGGTGTGGCTGAGTGTAACTTACGTTTGACTGGAACGGATCAGCGTGGATGTTGCTGTTCTATTTGGCAACTCTGATGGCGCTAGCTAATTAGAAAAACAACGAATTAATCATACACATATCATACACATTCAAAGACCTGGACAGGCCCTTCTCTACACAAGATACACATTCAAAGCATATTTTTGAAAACTTCTCTCGAAACCTTATCCCCTAACCTGCTACTAATGTAAACAGGTTAGAGTTATAGTGTTGCCAATGGATATGTTACTTTGTATTAGAATTGTATGTGATCAAATAACATTTGCTCACCTGACAAAGAAGGCTGCTCAAATGTAATTTACTAATTGATCGTGTTTTATAAGCGAGATCAATCATAAACACGTTTATTTCAATACAGCAACACACTGTTCATTCATTTAGGTAGAGTTCACCTCAAATAAAATTAGTCTGACATGAAGCGATGACGGATGCTGTTTGTAATGTAGAGCTGGCGAGTTTATGCCAGACAAACGGACAATAATATTTTCATTGGGAAAAAAACCTCACTTATTTTTGTGGTAGTAACTTTAGAACAAAATATAAGCTGATTATTTGAACATTAAAACATAAGTTTAGAATGTAAAAATTAACGTATCAAATAACATAAGTTTAGAATGTAAAAATTAACGTATCAGATAACATAAGTTTAGAATGTAAAAATTAACGTATCAAATAACATAAGTTTAGAATGTAAAAATTAACGTATCAAATAACATAAGTTTAGAATGTAAAAATTAACGTATCAAATAACATAAGTTTAGAATGTAAAAATTAACGTATCAAATAACATAAGTTTAGAATGTAAAAATAACGTATCAAATAACATAAGTTTAGAATGTAAAAATTAACGTATCAAATAACATAAGTTTAGAATGTAAAAATTAACGTATCAAATTACATAAGTTTAGAATGTAAAAATTAACGTATCAAATAACATAAGTTTAGAATGTAAAAATTAACGTATCAAATAACATAAGTTTAGAATGTAAAAATTAACGTTTCAAATAACATAAGTTTAGAATGTAAAAACTAAACGTATCAATAAAAAGTAAAGTTCCCTTTCAAGCCTGACGGACTATATGCCAAGTGAAGTAATGTTACTTGTTTATGTGACCTCGGCATATGAAGAGATAGTGTGGTCAGAACTATCCCCAAACGTATTGATGTGTCAATTATTTTTGCTATTGTTGAGAAGTGAAAATTCGGGGCCTATAAAATTAGGGGGCCTACTATTCAGCTCCTCCCTCACTCTCCTTCATTCATCAGTCTTACAATTTCACTTTCTAACACTCTTTAGATAAATCACACCATGTCCTTGTTGCTCTCTGTAAGTTTGGTTTTAATTCTTGTTAATTTGATACATAAAATCAACGCTTTTACTTCAAATACATGATCTTAAATGACATTACATGACACAATATAACACCAAATGACACCAAACGACATTACACAATACAACATGACATATTTTCTCTCACTTTTTTCACGGCTTGCTCTTGCATGTGTTGGATCTCTGAGGATGAGATGACGTCATGATAGAGAATGAGTGCTGGGCGGACGTTCAAGAGCTCCGCTTTAAACCTGTAGTACGGCCAAACAAATCTCCAGTGGCAGGTCAAGAGCTTTCTGCTCTGTTCATCCTAACAATAACGTTCGACTTATTCATTTACTTCATTAATTAAAATAAAAGGTTAGGAAAATGTTTTGAATTTTTTTAAAATTCGTTAATAAAAATATTAAATAAAAAGATTGAAATAAAGAAAAAGGATAAACATAACACACAACACTCACAAAACAATCAAACAATGAAAAACGCAACAAAAACAAAGAAACAAACTAACAAACAGACACAATAACAAAAAAAAAAGAGACACAAGGACAAACAAACAGACACAAGGACAAACAAAAAGAAAGATGGACAAACTAAAACCGAAAAAAAAAAGAAACAAACAAATCGATAGAAGTAAAAGAAGAAAAATCAATCCATCAATACAAATTTTAAAAATTAACTATTAAGTCAATAGATGAATTTATTAATTTAATACATAAAAATTAAATGAACTTTTCTACTACAATCTAAATTGATGTCTTAAACAAATCCAGATGGTTTTGTAAAATAAAAAAATATTTTCTAATTTAATCATTTTATTTGACGTAATGTGCAATGAAGAAATTCTAATTAATGTATCACCCTTTAAAAAAACTACAATTGTGTCTTTAAAAAGTGTAAGAATGACTTTCCTTAGTACCAGTTACCTTCCTTGATATATGAGAAAAACATTACATCGGGGGAAAAAACTTTTTATTTGTTTGTTTTGATGTTTGAAAAAAAATATTTTTAAATGAACATGGTTTTATGAAGTGCAATATGGTAGGTAAAACACAGGTATTTTTAAAAAAATATCTTTTATTTATTTTACACATTGAATGTACTGTTTACTAATTATCATTTTTATCAATAATAGTTTAGAAGCCGTTCCTAAATGTCGTGAATGTTTACTTTTATCTTTCCGTTTGCGGATATTTGATGGAGTAAGCTTCAGCCGTTCACTAAATTGAATCAGGCGCGTCTGCTAGCGCCCCAGTAGGGGGCGATTTGGTGTCCAGGCTATACTGTTAGCACTATGCGTTTATGTATGAGTTTAAGTTTGTGTTTGTGTTTGCGTCCATGTATGTATTATTTTCTTCGTTATTGTTTATGTCTGTGTTTGAGTTTTCTGTTTGCGTTTTTATTTGTGTTTACGTTAGTGTTGTGTTTATTTTTTGTGCTTGCATTTGGTTTACGTTTGTGTTTGCGTTACATTTGAGTTTTTTGAGTGTTTGTGTTACTGTTTTGGTTGGTTGTGGTTATAATTAAGTTTAGAAAGACAGTTAAGTTTAGGGTTATGTGTTATTTCCTCAAACGTCCATGTTGGCATAAAGACATTTGATTTGATGTAAGCCCTGCTAGGGGGGAATACCTTAAAATCTATCTAACTGTCCGGGTCAGTGCAACCGTGGTGAAACCCACGGTGGTATATCTTATCTTTAGTCTAAATAAAAAAAACTACTAAAAATAAAACAAAAACTTTAACAATTAATAAAATTTATTTATAAAAAATATGGAACCAATAAAAAAATCATAGAAAAAGAATAGATAAAAACTGACACAAAACAGACAAAACAAAACCAAACAAAACACCAAATTTCGGACCACCGTCCAGGTCTATGACGAACACAAACACAAAATAAATACGGCTGGATGGTGTGAATTTGTTGTTCTTTACAATCGATGACCAGAGAGTCTTCCTGCTCTCTTCATCGCTGCTTTCCACACACCAAAAGACAGACTCGAACCAGCCGGAAATCGACTTCCACACACCTCACACACTACACGTAAACAAATAGTCCCTAATTCACGGATAACAAACCAAACGCCACGAAACATGCAACAGAATTATATAAAAAGACACTTAACATAAACAATGACAACAATATAAACGAAATATATACAAACTAGCTATAAACAGGGACATAAACATTGAGACAGCGGCGCCATAATACGGGACTACACAACTAAAAACTACGAACAATTTACGACATGAAACGAAACGATACATTCGCCTTCTAAGTTACAAATAATAATAACTAGCCGTCCCGGCCAGGCCCTGCTCTGGCTTCTGTGAAAAACCTTTCTGTTAAAGACCATTACCTGTGTGTTTAGTAATCATCCTAAACCCGGCATTGCCCACCCAAACCACAACCAACCAAAACAACAAAACGCAAACATAACGCTAACACAATTACAAATACAAACGAAAACAAAAACCTAACAACAAACCCAACCACAACCACAAACACCAATACAAACACAAAGAAAAAACAAACTAAAAGCAAACGAAAACAAAAACCTAACAACAAACCCAACCACAAACACCAATACCAACAAAAAAAAAAAAAAAAACGAAAAAGCAAACGAAAACAAACCAAATCCAAACGCAAAACCAACCAAAAACACAAATACAAACCCAAACAAAGAAACACAAACAAAAACGAAAAAAGAAAGAACAAAAACGAACCAAATCAAAACGCAACCACTAACGCAAACCCACCTAAACACAAAGAAAACACTAACGCGAACATAAACGCCCGGGGCGGAATCACCTGTTTTAGCTTAATGAACGACTATAGTACCCCAACTTATTCATAGTCTTTTGCACTCACTTAAACGAACGCGCCTGTTTCAATTTGATGAACAATTTTAATACTCCAAGCTTATCCGTAAAATACCTACAACATTTGCACTTGATCAATCCCCGCTAATTATGTAATTATTTTTTTTTCCCAACACCAAAACAAAGTAATTAAAAAGTAAATACTTTTCCACAAAATACAATGGTTTTATAAAGGGAAGTAATTGTGTTTTTCCTAATTTATCAAAGGGAAGTAAGTGCTATAGGACTAAATAAAGACATAATTAGAATTTTTGTAAAAGATGATATTTTTTTTAAAACTTGTGTTTAATGAACATGCCGACAATTATTACTATAATTTGAAAAATGAAAATTATTTCCCAACACTTTCAATAGTAATTTTTTAGCTCATAAATTTAGACAAATGCGCACGATAATTTTCTAACTTTTAAATTCGTACACTTCCAACGACATACAAATGCATTACATACAGAACTGAGCTTTATATATTAGATATTAGATACACTCCAGCCGCTCACATTGAAAAGTAAAATATTTCCTAAACACGGGCAATGCCGGGTATATATTGCTTAATAAACACACAAGTCTCGGTCATTTACAGGTTTTTCACAAAGGCCAGAGCATGGCCTGACTGGCAGGTCTAATAATTTTATATAATCTAATATCTAAAGTTTGATTCTGTATGTTTATATGTTTGTAAAATGTTTGTAATCGAGGATTACAAAGGAATATAAGAAAAATGAAAAAAAACGATACTTCAATGGATTTAAGTGTTGGGTTTTAAAGTGCTCATGGTCTCAATTTATGTTAAAAACAGTTTTCATTTTATATACTTAGAATAATAATTTTTAATTATGAACATTACATAAAATTTAAAAAAGAAGTGTATCAACGTTTATAAAATTTCTAAAATTGTGTCTGAAATGTATTTGCATTTTGTCCTTTAGTTCTCATAACGTCCCTTGATTTGGAATACACAGTTACTTCCCTTTTTAAAAACCCATTAAATCAGGGGGAGAAAGAATTTACTTTTTATTACTTTGTTTTTGGTGTTAGGAAAAAAAAATAATTACATAATTAGCGGGGATTGATTAAGTGCAATGTCGTTGGTATTTTTAATACTGCCTTTTATTTATTCTATACACTGAACGCACTGTTTACTAATTATTTTAAAAAAATCAAATAACGTTTAATAAGCCAGGTCCTACAAATCCTATATATTTATTTCTTTCCAGTTACGAATAAGCTTGGAGTATTATAATTTTCTTCACTAAATTGAAACAGGTGCGGTTCAATTTGGCGCCCTGTGCTATCATGTGAGCGCTATGGTGCATAATTTCGTTTTAAACAGCGCGATAGACTATGGATAAGAAAGGTTACTATAGTCTTTAAGTGAATCAAATTCGGGCGTCCTCCGGCACCCCGACAGGGTGTTTGTTATTTGGCGCCCCGGGCCTTCCTGTGTTCGCTATGGTACCTACGTTCGCGTAAGTCAGTTCAAAAGACTATGAATAAGTTGGGTACTATAGTGTTTACTAAGTTGAATCAGGCGGTTACGCCGCACGTCGTCATGGTGCGATTTGGCGCCCCGGACTAGGCTGTGGACACTTTGAGTTTATCTTTGCGTTTGTGTTTTCTTTGTGTTTGAGTTTATCTTTGCGTTTGTGGTTGTGTTTGCATTTGCATTTGGGTTTGGGTTTGTTTTCGTTTGCTTTTTCTCTTTGCGTTTGTGTTTTCGTTTGCTTTTATCTTTGTGTTTTCTTTGTGTTTATGGTTGTGTTTGTGTTTGCGTTTGCTTTTTTGTTTTCGTTTGTGTTTGTATTTGTGTTTTTGTTATGTTTGCGTTGTTTTCTTTTGTGTGTTTTGTTTTTGTTTGGTTGTGGTTGGGTTTGTGTTTGCGTTTGGATTTGGATTTGTTTTTGTTTGCGTTAGTGTTTGTGTTTTCTTTGTTTGTGGTTGGGTTTGTCTTTGTCTTTGCGTTTGTTTTTGTGTTTTCGTTTGTGTTTGTTTTGTGTTAGTGTTATGTTTGCGATTTTTGTGTGTTTTGGTTGGTTGTGGTTAGGGCAATGCCGGGTAAATGCTGATTACTAAACACACAAGTTATGGTCCATTACAGATACGTTTTTCAGAAATGCCAGTGCAGGGCCTGGCCTTGACGGCTAGTATATTTATATAAATAAATAAAAAAAATGTGAATATATATATATATATATATATATATATATATATGTATATATATATATATATATATATATATATATATATATATATATATATATATATATATATATCAATACTAATAGTTTCGCTGTCTGTGTATCTATCTATCTATCTGACAAGAACGCTCTAGAGAAAACACAAGCAAATTAAAAACTTTCATAGTCAAATGGAAACGATATATGACGTCACATTGAGAATACAGTAGAAAATAGTATCAAGCCGGAGAGTGCACACAATAATATGACGTCATTGATTCTCGAGTAAACATTGAATTAAAAAGCCAACGTTGTCTAATCCAAGTGGTTTGCGTGTAGAGTTTCATTCATACAATTCTTCGGGTAGGGGCGAAGCCCCACCCTCGCGAAAGAACGTCTAAGCCGTCCCCCCCCCCCCCCCCAACTCAAAAGAAATTTCTTCATCGATACTAAAATTACCGCCTAATTAATGTGTCTAATCTAAAAAGTGGTTTGCTTGCAGTTTCTTTCATGCAATTCTTCGGGTAGTGGCTAAGCGCGACACCAGTGTTTCTTTCAGACTTTTTCCTCCCCGGAGGGGGGAACTTTTTCTAATCTAAAAAGTGTTTAACGTGCACAGTTTTTTTCATGCATCTTCTTTAGTTTGTATGATCTACAAATGCGACCAGTGTTTCTTTCAGACTTTTTCCTCTCCGGAGAGGGGTGGGGGTACTTGAATTTTTTTGGGGGCGGGGGTTGAATTTTCTGGGAGGGGGCGGACACTGAAAAAAGTATATAATAATATTTCGTTGAATGGGACGGTAGACATGTTTTGGTGTGTGTGTGAGGGGGGGGGGGGGTTGGTTTTAGTTTAGAGAAAATAGACAGCACTATCAACCTAGCGCCCGGTGTATCCTTCCTCAACGGGCCATTTTTCTCGTATATATATATATATATATATACGTGTGTGTGTGCGTGTGTAAAGAAGGTTCTAATACCTATTTCGTGTGTGTGTGTGTGTAAAGAAGGTTCAAATACCTGTTCCGTGTGTGTGTGTGTAAAGAAGGTTTAAATACCTGTTCCGTGTGTGTGTATGTGTGTGTGTGTGTGTGTGTGTAAAGAAGGTTCAAATACCTGTTCCGTGTGTGTGTGTGTGTGTAAAAAAGGTTCTAATACCTGTTCCGCAGGATGACTTCCCCTAGTTGACCTTTGACTTCCCCTAGTTGACCTTTGACACAACTTGGTAAATTGAGCCTGCACCTCGTCTTGTCGAAATCCGTCTGATGGGGGTTGGGGGCGGGGGTGGGACAAGTGAACAAATACACTTTTAAGCACATACACCACTGGAAGAATCTGGTGTGGATGTCATATTGGGTGTGGTTGTCAGTGTATGGTAGAGGCGGGTGTGTGGTGTTGTTAGTGTGTGGTAGAGGCGGGTGTTGGGTGTGGTCAGTGTGTGGTAGAGGCGGGTGTATGGTGTGGTAAGTGTGTGGTAGAGGCGGGTGTTGGGTGTGGTCAGTGTGTGGTAGAGGCGGGTGTTGGGTGTGGTCAGTGTGTGGTAGAGGCGGGTGTATGGTGTGGTAAGTGTGTGGTAGAGGTGGGTCTGGTAAGTGTGTGGTAGAGGTGGATGTGTTCAGTGTGTGGTAGAGGTGGGTGTGGTAAGTGTGTGGTAGAGGTGGGTGTGGTAAGTGTGTGGTAGAGGTGGGTGTGGTCAGTGTGTGGTAGAGGTGGGTGTGGTAAGTGTGATGTAGAGGTGGATGTGGTAAGTGTGTGGTAGAGGTGGATGAGGTGGATGAGGTCAGTGTGTGGTAGAGGTGGATGTGGTCAGTGTGTGGTAGAGGTGGGTGTGGTAAGTGTGTGGTAGAGGTGGGTGTGGTCAGTGTGTGGTAGAGGTGGGTGTGGTAAGTGTGATGTAGAGGTGGATGTGTTAAGTGTGTGGTAGAGGTGGATGTGGTCAGTGTGTGGTAGAGGTGGGTGTGGTAAGTGTGTGGTAGAGGTGGGTGTGGTAAGTGTGTGGTAGAGGTGGGTGTGGTCAGTGTGTGGTAGAGGTGGATGTGGTAAGTGTGTGGTAGAGGTGGATGAGGTCAGTGTGTGGTAGAGGTGGGTGTGTTAAGTGTGTGGTAGAGGTGGATGTGGTAAGTGTGTGGTAGAGGTGGGTGTGTTAAGTGTGTGGTAGAGGTGGGTGTGGTCAGTGTGTGGTAGAGGTGGGTGTGGTCAGTGTGTGGTAGAGGTGGGTGTGGTAAGTGTGTGGTAGAGGTGGATGTGGTAAGTGTGTGGTAGAGGTGGGTGTGGTAAGTGTGTGGTAGAGGTGGATGTGGTAAGTGTGTGGTAGAGGTGGATGAGGTCAGTGTGTGGTAGAGGTGGGTGTGTTAAGTGTGTGGTAGAGGTGGGTGTGGTAAGTGTGTGGTAGAGGTGGGTGTGGTAAGTGTGTGGTAGAGGTGGGTGTGGTCAGTGTGTGGTAGAGGTGGATGTGGTAAGTGTGTGGTAGAGGTGGATGTGGTAAGTGTGTGGTAGAGGTGGGTGTGTTAAGTGTGTGGTAGAGGTGGATGTGGTAAGTGTGTGGTAGAGGTGGGTGTGTTAAGTGTGTGGTAGAGGTGGGTGTGGTCAGTGTGTGGTAGAGGTGGGTGTGGTCAGTGTGTGGTAGAGGTGGGTGTGGTAAGTGTGTGGTAGAGGTGGATGTGGTAAGTGTGTGGTAGAGGTGGATGAGGTCAGTGTGTGGTAGAGGTGGGTGTGTTAAGTGTGTGGTAGAGGTGGGTGTGGTAAGTGTGTGGTAGAGGTGGGTGTGGTAAGTGTGTGGTAGAGGTGGGTGTGGTCAGTGTGTGGTAGAGGTGGGTGTGGTAAGTGTGTGGTAGAGGTGGGTGTGGTAAGTGTGTGGTAGAGGTGGGTGTGGTCAGTGTGTGGTAGTGGTGGGTGTGGTAAGTGTGTGGTAGAGGAGGATGTGGTAAGTGTGTGGTAGAGGTGGGTGTGGTAAGTGTGTGGTAAAGGTGGGTGTGGTAAGTGTGTGGTAGAGGTGGATGTGGTCAGTGTGTGGTAGAGGTGGGTGTGGTAAGTGTGTGGTAGAGGTGGGTGTGGTAAGTGTGTGGTAGAGGTGGGTGTGGTAAGTGTGTGGTAGAGGTGGATGAGGTCAGTGTGTGGTAGAGGTGGGTGTGTTAAGTGTGTGGTAGAGGTGGATGTGGTAAGTGTGTGGTAGAGGTGGGTGTGTTAAGTGTGTGGTAGAGGTGGGTGTGGTAAGTGTGTGGTAGAGGTGGGTGTGGTAAGTGTGTGGTACAGGTGGGTGTGGTAAGTGTGTGGTAGAAGTGGGTGTGGTAAGTGTGTGGTAGAGGTGGATGTGGTAAGTGTGTGGTAGAGGTGGATGTGGTAAGTGTGGTATTTGACTTACCCTGATGTGGTAAGTGTGTGGTATTTGACTTACCCTGATGTGGTCAGTGTGTGGTAGAGGTGGATGTGGTAAGTGTGGTAGAGGTGGATGTGGTAAGTGTGGTATTTGACTTACCCTGATGTGGTAAGCGTGTGGTATTTGACTTACCCTGATGTGGTAAGCGTGTGGTATTTGACTTACCATGATGTGTTAAGTGTGTGGTAGAGGTGGGTGTGGTAAGTGTGTGGTAGAGGTGGGTGTGGTAAGTGTGTGGTACAGGTGGGTGTGGTAAGTGTGTGGTAGAGGTGGGTGTGGTAAGTGTGTGGTAGAGGTGGATGTGGTAAGTGTGTGGTAGAGGTGGATGTGGTAAGTGTGGTATTTGACTTACCCTGATGTGGTAAGTGTGTGGTATTTGACTTACCCTGATGTAGTAAGTGTGTGGTATTTGACTTACCCTGATGTGGTAAGTGTGTGGTAAGTGTGTGGTAAGTGTGTGGTACTTACCCTGATTAGCCAACGACTGTCTGCTCTGTGAACTCAAGCTTTGTCTTAGTGACCTTGACCTTCTGATCACGTGACTGGGTTGACCTGGGCAGACGTTGACCTCAAACCAGTTCAACCAAAGAAACGCTTCCTCGTACAACCCAAATTTGACGGCGGTCTCCATGACAACCAGGTAGTCTATGGCGGCAAACAGTCGGTAGTCATGACGACCGTGGTGCTTGTCAATGATGGGACACATGAGGGGGAGCGTTCCTATGTCCAGTTGGACAAAGTTTTGACAAGCTAAGCACCTCTCGATGGGACGATGTGTTGGTGTAGCGTTGAACCAAGAGGGGGCGGGGATGATGTTGTAGACCTCTGCAATCCTGACCAGACCCAGAGCAGAACCCTCAATGTCTGATTCTGACACCCAGTTCGGCCATTTTGAAATGGCTTCACGTAAGTTTCCTACATTCTCTAGAACAATGCCAGAGGAACATCCTTTAGCCTTTCCAATAACAACAAAAAAAAAAAAAAAGGCAGCTATTTTTACATAAATTAGCTTACGGTAAAACCTAAAATTTAAGAAATTCTTTTCTTTTTGTAAACAAGATTAAGTTTAAAAGTGTTTTATTTTATTCGTTCAGGGCTAAAGACGTAGTGTGGTTCTACTCTAGGGCTAAAGACGTAGTGTGGTCCTACTCTAGGTCTAAAGACGTAGTGTAATCCTACTTTAGGACTAAAGACGTAGTGTGGTCCTACTCTAGGGCTAAAGACGTAGTGTGGTCCTACTCTAAAGACGTAGTGTGGTCCTACTCTAGGGCTAAAGACGTAGAGTTGTCCTACTCTAGGGCTAAAGACGTAGTGTGGTCCTACTCTAAAGACGTAGTGTGCTCCTACTCTAAAGACGTAGTGTGGTCGTACTCTAAAGACGTAGTGTGATCGTACTCTACGGCTAAAGACGTAGTGTGCTCCTACTCTAAAGACGTAGTGTGGTCCTACTCTAAAGACGTAGTGTGCTACTACTCTAAAGACGTAGTGTGGTCCTACTCTAGGGCTAAAGACGTAGTGTGGTCCTACTCTGAAGACGTAGTGTGGTCCTACTCTATGTCTAAAGACGTAGTGTAATCCTACTTTAGGGCTAAAGACGTAGTGATGTCCTACTCTAAAGACGTAGTGTGGTCCTACTCTAGGGCTAAAGACGTAGAGTTGTCCTACTCTAGGGCTAAAGACGTAGTGTGGTCCTACTCTAAAGACGTAGTGTGGTCCTACTCTAGGGCTAAAGACGTAGTGTGGTCGTACTCTAAAGACGCAGTGTGGTCCTACTCTAGGGCTAAAGATGTAGTGTGGTACTTCTCTAAAGACGTAGTGTGGTCCTACTCTAGGGCTAAAGACGTAGTGTGGTCCTACTCTAAAGACGCAGTGTGGTCCTACTCTAGGGCTAAAGACGTAGTGTGGTCGTACTCTAAAGACGTAGTGTGGTCCTACTCTAAAGACGTAGTGTGGTCCTACTCTAGGGCTAAAGACGTAGTGTGGTCCTACTCTAAAGACATAGTGTGGTCCTACTCTAGGGCTAAAGACGTAGTGTGGTCCTACTCTAGGGCTAAAGACGTAGTGTGGTCCTACTCTAAGGCTAAAGACATAGTTTGGTCCTACCCAGCCCTGCAGATTGATCAATAGAGGTAAAAAAATCTTTTTAAAGCAACAGCAAATAAAAAGTTATTGGGTGGACATATAGAGACACGAGCTGACCTTCCAAAAAATCAGGGGCAGTAACCGTGGTTTGAGCAGGTTTTACAATCGTCTGCCAGTCATGGTAGACTTGCCGGATGAGCAGGTGGGCGGAGACTGGACTGTGGCACAAGTTGGCGGGTAGGTGTGCTAGGCGTCTCCTCACTCTCTCTGCTACCCTGAGAAAGAGGTCACTTAGAGAGTTCACTTACAGAGGTAACTTACAGAGGTCACTCACAGAGGTCAGTGGCGTGCAGACCTATATAGATGCCCGGGGCCAATTCAAGAGGAAGATGCCCCCATTAATACTTTATATATATATATATATATATATATATATATATATATATATATATATATATATATATATATATATATATATATATATATATATATATATATATATAAAGTTTAGTCACAAACCGTTAAACACATAGAAAAGCATTTTTTAAAAATTGTACTTATCTTAATTAAGATGAAAACGTTGACTACAGCCAGCTAAATCCAAAAGAAATGAATGGTTGGAACTTGGGGGGGGGGGGGGGGCGGGGGGGGGAAGGGGAGACAATTGCTGGACGTGTCGTGGTGGGGAGGGGGGGGGGGCTGTGATGCACAACAAAAGAGTCTCATCCGGTTTTGTATTACCACCCGGGACCGCAGGGACAAAAACGTTCTCCGTGTCTACAATTAGGGCGTCAGACACGCCTTTATTTATGGGATGTTTCTCTCTTGGCCTCGTTTAGGAATTCCTATAGTGTAACTAATACAGATGAGAGTGTGCATTGAACTAGAGATGTTTCAGATTTTAAAAATTTCTAAACCAATCGGTCAAAAGGTCAATGCTTTAAGGAGATGTTATGCTAGGTACTCTAAAACATCGGTCCGTGTCTAACCATTCACTTAGCAATGTCAGACCCTCCCTACAACTTGGACTTGTTTTCCCAAATTTAACACCCAGGTAACGCCTTCTGTCCAGATCAGGTGGGGGGAAATCCACTAATGTTGACCATGGCCTGAACCCACCCCCACATTTCATTAAATCAATTTGGGCTCAATTACTCTACAGATGGCTCTACTATTAGTTGAAATAAAACTGGGTCAATATTATGTGCCCCTAATTAAGATAATGAGTAGGTGCTTTGGGGTGGGTGAAAGTTGGTGGGGTGAGGTAAAGGATAACGCAGACTGTGCATTTAAATTTATGCTTATCGGATGGAAAAAAATATAGTCTCGACATTCGAGTACAATAGGAGGTTTGTGTCTAAATTGAGGGAGAGAACCAAGTGACAGCCAACTACACCTTATTTATGTGTTTCTCGACGGGACTACTTGGCGGCCGTGAATTCCGGTAATTAAGACGTGTGAGACTTCAGGACAACTTTACAATGAAGTGAACTCAGCCCAGTGTATCAAAACAGTACGCACTTTAAAGTTTGTATTTAATCCCTACAATATTTAAAAAACAAAAATGAATATTATAAAGAACATCATTACAATAAAAAAAACAGGCTATGTGCTTAATCTCTCTACGAATATGGGCATAATTATTGTATGGAAGCCCTACAAACATCATGCAATGAATAGAAACATAATAAAGATGTCCCGATAATATATGAAACGAACATGGGCATATAATTACTGCATATATGCATATATAATGAATATAAGCATAATAAATATCATCCGATAATATATAAAACGAATATGGGCATAATTGCTGTAATTATATAAATACAAACGTGAATACAAGTAAATTACTTTAAAGATGCCCTGACGATATATAAAATGAATGCGGGCATAATTACTGTTTGGATGCCCTTCAAAACTATTATGATGAATATGAGTAAAATTACATTAAAGATGTCCCTACAGTGTATAAATTATAATTATGGGCTTTAATTCTCTATGGATTACCATAAGTGTATAAAATGATCATGGGCATGTTCTCTTAAAGATGCCCCTACCTACACTATACCTAAATAAGTATCAGATACTCTATTGAAAGACTGCATACATTTATTCGGGGAATATCAATGACTACTACACCACTACCCCTCACCGATGCCCCTTTCTCCCTGAAGTGTTAAGACACGGACAGTACGATGACTTTTGTTGATTGTAAATACACATTTCGGTGAATTCGGCAAATTGATAATTCTGCCTAGATAGACAAACCTAAGAAGACTTTTAACTTTCCTAAAAAAAAAAAAAATGTTTTTTACATTTTGTTTTACCTCGTTGGATGCCCCCTATGATGTGGATGCCAGGGGCCTGGGCCCCCCACCGACCCCCCCCCCCCCCCCCACCATCTGCACGCCACTGCTTACAGAGGTAATTTACAGAGGTCAGTTGACAAAGTTAGGCCTATGCTTTTAAAATTATTTAATTTGATGCGAGACATGTCTTACTAAGAGGTGTAGGACATGTCCTGAACAAAATATGACGTCATGCCAGTATTAACGAAGGCGTTTTGTTGATTTTGGTTAAACTGTTCAGATTACCATAAAATGGTTGTGTATTGGTTATTGTTAACTGTTCAGATTACCATAAAATGGTGGCGTATTGATTTTGGTTAAACTGTTATGATTACTACAACCAACGTTTACACGACAATCCCATCAACCGAGGCTTGACATTTATCGATTATCAATACAATCGATCGCTGTTATTGATTAGAATGGATGATTATAATCGCGTGTGCTCATGCGGTTATCGATTTATTTACAAAAGACTTGACGAGTTGGACAAATAGTTGTTTTTAAACAAGACAGACAATTGAAGACAGACAATTGAAGACAGACAATTGAAGACAGACAATGGAAGACAGACAATTGAAGACAGACTATTGAAGACAGACAATTGAAGACAGACTATTGAAGACAGACAATTGAAGACAGACAATTGAAGACAGACAATTGAAGACACAATTGAAGACAGATTATTGAAGACAGACTATTGAAGACAGACAATTTAAGACAGACTATTGAAGACAGACAATTGAAGACAGACAATTGAAGACAGACAATTAAAGACAGACTATTGAAGACAGACTTGAAGACAGACAATTGAAGACAGACAATTGAAGACAGACAATTGAAGACAGACAATTGAAGACAGACAATTAAAGACAGCCAATTGAAGACAGACTACTGAAGACAGACAATTGAAGACAGACTTGAAGACAGACTATTGAAGACAGACAATTAAAGACAGCCAATTGAAGACAGACAATTAAAGACAGACTATTGAAGACAGACTTGAAGACAGACAATTGAAGACAGACAATTAAAGATAGACAATTGAAGACAGACAATTAAAGACAGACTATTGAAGACAGACTTGAAGACAGACAATTGAAGACAGACAATCGAAGACAGACTTGAAGACAGACAATTGAAGACAGACAATTAAAGACAGCCAATTGAAGACAGACTATTGAAGACAGACAATTGAAGACAGACAATTGAAGACAGACAATTGAAGACAGACAATTAAAGACAGCCAATTGAAGACAGACTATTTAAGACAGACAATTGAAGACAGACAATTGAAGACAGACAATTGAAGACAGACAATTGAAGACACAATTGAAGACAGATTATTGAAGACAGACTATTGAAGACAGACTATTGAAGACAGACAATTGAAGACAGACAATTGAAGACAGACTATTGAAGACAGACGATAGAAGACAGACTACAGAACACACATAATAAAAGACAGACTACAGAACAGACTATAGAAATCAGTCAGTAGAAGACAGACAAGACGCAATATAAAAAGAAAATGAAAATACAATGTGGACAATAAATACATCAGACAATGTTAGTCAAAATGTAAAGTCGGTATAAGTCAACAGTTCAATTACCAATGTAGGTCAAAATGTAAAGTCGGTATAAGTCAAGAGTTCAATTACCTCCTTAATTCTTTGAATTTCTTTGTGTTGATATTGGCTTGGCTAGACGCCTCTAAAATATTCTCTAAATATTCCAGAAACTTCTCCTCGGTTTTGACCAGAGCCTTAAGTTTGGCCACAGAGGAAAAAATTTCACAACGGGAACACACTAGACACAGAACACACAGCAAAACACATGTCCCAGCACGGTCCATAGCTGTAGCACACACTGATGGTCTCACTGCTGGTCTCAGTGATGGTCTCATTGTTGGTCCTACTCAGCATGAGAGCGTGGTCCCACTACTGGTTGCACCGTGTCGTTATCAATTATGGATCAATCGTTATTTGATCAGTGACAAGCACGATTCTGTTTGTTCCAGTAATATTTTACTGCGAGATTGTATCACATATTTTTACTGCGAGAGTGTATCACATATTGTACTGCAAGAGTGTATCACATATTTTTACTGCGAGAGTGTATCACATATTGTACTGCAAGAGTGTATCACATATTTTACTGGGATGGTGTATCTCATATTTTACTGAGAGAGTGTATCACATATTTTACTGCAAGAGTGTATCTCATATTTTTACTGCGAGAGTGTATCACATATTTTACTACAAGAGTGTATCACATATTTTACTGGGAGAGTGTATCATATATTTTACTGAGAGAGCGTATCTCATATATTTAACCGAGTGAGTGAAGCTCACAATGAACTTGGGGCGGAAGAAACACTGTTTATGTTTTAAGTTGCGTGTTAGTTTATGCTTGCGTTTTCATTTTTCTCAAACGTTTATATTTACAGACGAGAAAAATGGCCTGTTGAGGAAGGATACAACGGGCGCTAGGCTGATAGTGCTGTCTCTTTTCTCTAAACTAAAACCACCCCAATCACACACCACCCCCCCACCCCCCACCCCCATCACCCCCCCCCCACCCCCACCCCCCAAAAAAATATGTCTACCGTCCCATTCAACGAAATATAATTATATACTTTTTCCAGTGTCCGCCCCCTCCCCGAAAATTCTACCCCCGCCCCCGAAAATTTCAAGTACCCCCACCCCTCTCCGGGGAGAAAAAAGTCTGAAAGAAACACTGGTGTCGCGCTTAGCCACTACCCGAAGAATTGCATTAAAGAAATTGCAAGAAAACCACTTTTTAGATTAGACACATTAATTAGGCGGTAATTTTATTATAGAGTATCGATGAAGAAATTTCTTTTGAGTTGGGGAGGGGGGGGGGGGCTCAGACGTTCTTACGCGGGGGTGGGGCTTCGCCCCTACCCGAAGAATTGTATGAAAGAAACTCTTCACGCAAACCACTTAGATAAGACAAAATTTCCTTTTTATTCAATGTTTGCTCGAGAATCAATGACGTCATATTACTGTGTGCACTCTCCGGTTTGAGATTATTTTCTACTCTGTGCTAAATGTGACGACGTCATACTTCGTTTTTCGTTTCACGGTGAAAGTTTTTAATTTCCTTGTGTTTTCTCTAGAGCGTTCTTGTCAGATAGACAGACAGAGCGTTCTTGTCAGATACATACACAGACAGCGAAACTATTAGTATTATACGAGAAAAATGGCCCGTTGAGGAAGGATACAACGGGCGCTAGGCTGATAGTGCTGTCTCTTTTCTCTAAACTAAAACCACCCCCCCCCCCCCCCCACACACACACCACCCCCCCCCCCCCCCCCAAAAAAAAAACATGTCTACCGTCCCATTCAACGAAATATAATTATATACTTTTTCCAGTGTCCCCGAAAATTCTACCCCCGCCCCCGAAAATTTCAAGTACCCCCACCCTTCTCCGGGGAGGAAAAAGTCTGAAAGAAAGACTGGTGTCGCGCTTAGCCACTACCCGAAGAATTGCATTAAAGAAATTGCAAGAAAACCACTTTTTAGATTAGACACATTAATTAGGCGGTAATTTTATTATAGAGTATCGATGAAGAAATTTCTTTTGAGTTGGGGAGGGGGGGGGGGTGGCTCAGATGATCTTAAGCGGGGATGGTGCTTCGCCCCTACCCGAAGAATTGTGTGCAAGAAACTCTTCACAGCAAACCATTTAGATTAGACAAAATTGCCTTTTTATTCAATGTTTACTCGAGAATCAATGACGTCATATTACTGTGTGCACTCTCCGGCTTGAGATTATTTTCTACTCTATGCTAAATGTGACCGCGTCATACTTCGTTTTTCGAATTACTATGCATGTTTTTAATTTCCTTGTGTTTTCTCTAGAGCGTTCTTGTCAGATACATAGATAGATAGATACACAGATAGATAGATAGATACACAGACAGCGAAACTATTGGTATTAATAATAGAACTTTAAATGAAAATTGTACATATTCCCAAACCCCAAGGGGCGCTAAATGAGAACACAAGTCACGGCTCCTTACAGATACGTTTGTCTTAAATGTCAGTGCAGGGCCCAGATAAAACTCGTCAAAACGCTTTAGTTGGTGTATAAATCATTTATTGCAAGCTATAATGTACAAATATGGTGTCCAAATAAATTAACAGAATCAACAGCAAAGATAGCTTACACCCCCTGGGGCAGAAGAAGATATATGAGTACACGCCAAGTGCTAGATCTAGTAGAAAGAAAGTCTACACACTTTTGTAAATATATTTCCTTATTTTTACCGAGCCCACACAAGGCGGATTTAGTACATGGCTTTGGGTAGCCCACTGTCACAGAGATTTAAAAAAAAAATGTTTAATTCATTTAATTTTCTTATAATAAAAGCTATTCCTTCTAAACCGCGATATGTATTGCTATAGGCGGATTTTATAATGTAGAACTACAGGGAGGGCCCCTGCGACATTCCCAACTATATGTATTAATGCATATGCTATGTATGTGGGCTATATCTACCCCCCCCCCCCCCCCAATTCAACAATGAAGTGAACAGTAATAAAAACATAGATTATTTGAATGGCCTACTTTTAAAAGTCAATCGCACAATATTAAGGATTATTTCTATGCTATGGTTGTAAACTATTTTAACAATAATGATAGCAACTTCTTATTTTTAGAACGGGTCAGCTGCATTGAATTTTACGTCTGAAAACTGAAAACAATGTGATAGGGTCAAATAACCAGCCGAATTAGGCCACTGGTTTTAGGGCCAAATAAGAAGCCAAATTAGGCCACACAACAATAAATTTTGTAAAAGTTTGCCAAAATGTATTAGGGTCCTAAATTAGGCTTCTTTAATGTTTAAAAGTAGACCAGTACGTCAGATTACAAGAGAATAAACCTACTTCTATTTTCTACAACACAATAGACCTACAGCCTACACTTAAACTTGACTTAAACCTACTTCTATTTTCTACAACACAATAGACCTATAGCCTACACTTAAACTTGACTTAAGTTTCATGTTTTTTTTATATGCCTGTAGAGTTTTAATTAGGATTAAGAAAGATCTAGGTGTGCTAGTATACTACTCCAAGTTTGGCTACTCAGTATTAGATCACTGCAGACTAAATAGAAAAAAAATATATCGAAAGATAAAATAAATGCAGACATGCAAATAAACAAATACATTTAATTTTGACTTTTGAACACATGAGGCCTGAGGCCTATCAGGTTTCCAAAACTATTTTAAGTAGGGGAAAGCCTGCTGTTAATTCTAGCTTAGGGAAAGTATGATTTTAATTTAAACCTAGGAAAAGTATGAATTTAATTTAAACCTAGGAAAAGCCTGCTTTTAATTCTATTATTAATTTAAACCTAGGGAAAGTATGATTTTAATTTAAGCCTAGGAAAAGTATGATTTTAATTCTAGCCTTGGGAAAGCATTGTTTCTTCCAGACTATTTACTCCAGGGGGGGGGGGGGGGAAAGCCCTTCAAAAAATTGTTTTGGAGGGGGGTGTGTACATTGTTAAAAATATATCAGTTAAGCCTAATATTTTTAGTTAGCTATGGCCAAAATTATCTTTGCTATTACTAGGCATCTTGTATTATAAAATAATTTGATTAATTAAACTAAACATTGATACTATCCTCCAATTGGAAATACTGAATGTTTATCAACATTTTCTTTGAAAACTTGACTAACGTTGGCTTTGTTCAGAGAATTCCTAAAAAACAATCATTTAAAAATAGCTTGATTTGATTGTATCTCTGTGTCAAATCAGCATGTTTTAAAATGATGCATTACCATCCCACTATCAAGAATAATGAGTTACCTCATTACCATCCCACCATCAAGAATAATGAGTTACCCCATTACCATCCCACCATCAAGAATAATGAGTTACTCCATTACCATCCCACCATCAAGAATAATGAGTTACCCCATTACCATCCCACTATCAAGAATAATGAGTTACCCCATTACCATCCCACTATTAAGAATAATGAGTTACCCCATTACCATCCCACCATCAAGAATAATGAGTTACCCCATTACCATCCCACCATCAAGAATAATGAGTTACCCCATTACCATCCCACCATCAAGAATAATGAGTTAATCCGTTACCATCCCAATGCTTCAATACAAAAGATGGATGAGTGTCCTTTACAGAAGCCAGATTTTGATTAGCTGCTAGGAGTGTAATTGATTAATAACTCCCCCCTCCCACCCCTCCAAATGATGACTCAGCACATATATGATTGAGACACAGATGCAGATAATCTAAGGCGTACAGCAGAAATCAGCTTGTTATATACAATACATGCTTTGATATACAAATAATTTATAATTTGAGAGTCTGACAATTTTCTGCCAATCACATGCTAGTTTGCTAATTGTCAAATTTGTGACCTAATTCTCATCAAGACAGCACAAATTTATTTGCTATTTCAGATAAAGATAATTACAGATAATTACAGAAAGCACATCTTGTAGCTATTTGTAAGAAAGTATGAGCATTAATAATTGTAAAATTTGGTTGATCTTATGTCAGTGAATGTCTCACACTATTGATGGTTACATTATCTTATCAGCCATGTGTACATTCAAAATTTGAGTATAAAAATAGGATTTAAACTAAGGCCACTTGGTATAAAATTATGATCCACCGATTCAAATTTAGGCATCTTAGTATAAAAATATGATCTGATGATTAAAACCTACTAAACAAAAACAATGAGTTTTTACAAGTAAGCCTACAATGTAAAACAAAAATTGGATATTTTATGTAACAAAAGTTGGTCATATAGATTGGAGTCTTTGTGAAAAACAAATCTTGTATATTGGCACATTGGTTCATGCTTATAAAGATATAAAAGCTCAATTAACTTGTGTATATTCTTGTCAAATGATTATTATATGTGATACAAAATTAAAATATATCTTTATGAAAAAGTAAATATATGTGTGTATGTAGCCCAAATAATTTTAAAACATATTTCTCTTCAAGTACATATATGTTCAAAATGAAGTATTACATATTTAAGAGAAAAAGAAAATCAACTTGTAACAATTGTAAAAAGTTGACCTTTGAAACATTAGCTGACTTAATCTGAACATTCCTTACTAAACATTATAACCCTCTGTAAATGAGAGATATGTCATTGCATCCAATTCAAATGACAGTTTAACCCTTTGTCTGTGAATAAGAGATATGTCATGTCAATTTTAAACTTCATGAAAATCCTAAAAATAATGTCAAATGTTTAGCTTGATCTTGAGGCAAGGTTAGATGACAACTTCCAGCTAGTGCTTCAATTAGTCAACTGGAGCATCGCATGGCTAGACCTGGCTGTATTTTAAACCAGCTGAAACATTAAAAAATGACTTGAGATGAAAAAAAGACAATATGTTGGCTACATTAAAATTGAATCAGGACCATTCAAATATTTGTTTTCTATAAAATAATTAAACGTTTTAAATATACACTTCAAACTACATAAAATACTCCCTTAGAAACTTAGAAATAAAAAATTTTATAAACTTTACATATTTTAAAAAGTAACAGTACAGAGTTTTTGTAACAGTATGGAGTTTTTGTAACAGTATGGAGTTTTTGTAACAGTACAGAGTTTTTGTAACAGTATGGAGTTTTTGTAACAGTATGGAGTTTTTGTAACAGTACGGAGTTTTTGTAACAGTATGGTGTTTTTGTAACAGTATGGTGTTTTTGTAACAGTACAGAGTTTTTGTAACAGTAAGGAGTTTTTGGAATAGAAAATAAAAAAATAGAATTAACACTTGGTCAATTAAAAGTTTTTTTTTTATTTACATGTAATATAATCTTACATGTAATATAATCTTACATGTACTATAATCTTACATGTAATATAATCTTACATGTAAAATAATCTTACATGTAATATAATCGTACATGTAATATAATCTTACATGTAATATAATCTTACATGTAATATAATCTTACATGTAATATAATCTTACATGTAATTTAATCTTACATGTAATTTAATCTTACATGTAATATAATCTTACATGTAATATAATCTTACATGTAATATAATCTTACATGTAATATAATCTTACATGTAATATAATCTTACATGTAATATAATCTTACATGTAATATAATCTGACATGTAATATAATCTTACATGTAATATAATCTGACATGTAATATAATCTTACATGTAATATAATTTTACATAAGATTTTACTTAGGTCACGATGTATATCTTTCTGTCTGTCTGTTATTTCATATCCTTCCATTGAAAAATAAAAGTATTTGACATGGTACCATGACAAAGCCTACCCATGTGACCACTGATTGAAGGGGGAAAACACAGGAAAAAATACACAGAAAAAAGTAATAGGAAAAATGTCACAAATGTGTATATTTGTGGAATTTAAAACGTTTATGTATTAAATATTCAGAAAGTGCAAATCAATTTACAATTCAAATGTAATGTAAACCATTTATATACACATGCATAGGTTGTATAGTTATAGTAAATATTTATGGCACACTTTTAAGTATTTAGTATGAAGAATGTAGGTTTTAATTTTGTTATAGAATTAAATAGGATATTTCAATCTTTTAGGTTTTTATGTTTTTTAAATGCTATCTTTAAATAAGCATGAAACGGCATTAAGACATAGTTTATGTGACTTGCTGTCCTCAAATCATCACAACAATAGTTCAACCACCTGTACTGTCCACATTTATCACATAATCAAAGCAGAAAGTCAACACAGTACAAAGGCTGTCATTGACACTAAACATGAACAACACAATATGAATGGATAAGGTTGACTGAGGAGAAGCCGACCTAGGAAAAGCCTACGGCAAAAGACATATGCAGGCAGACAGTGATGTGCCTAAATTTCTTTTAGAATAAATTTTTCTACCGGGTAATCAACTAAATACATAATCAACTAAATACGTAATCAACTAAATAGATAATCAACTAAATACTTAACAAAAGTGGAGACTGCTGTGTCAATTATCTTAGAGTAGTTTTAACTAATTATTGTTACACACCATAATACTTTTAAAGTTTATAAATATCCTACCAAAAAAACAGCACCCACATTAATAAACACCCACAGTTTATCAACAATTAAATCAAAATATTTCTTAGAAGATTTTTGTGACTTTTTTCCTGTGACTTTTTTTCCATTCGCCCTGACCTCTAGCCAATGGCAGTAGTAGTTTGATTGCTAATTAAATAAAAAATGTCATTAAATTGTGCATTCAAATGTTAAACTTGACTTGCTCAGAGATTTAAAAATAAAACAAATAATGCCAGCTTAAAAAAAACAATTTTTAAAAACCTAGTTAGTCAAATAACTAGGTCAAATCACTAGGTAAAATAACTAAGTGTAGGATTCACCTTCATCATTGCTGTAGCAGTTAGGACAATGGAGTTTGTTGGCCTTGACCCTGACATCTGCTCCGTGTGTACCTGAACCAAGTGATGCGTGACACACGCTGCAGCGAAAACATTGGATGTGGTAGTACAGGTTCAGCGCTTCTATGCCCATGGCTGTCCCGTAACCTGCAACATGGGATTTGTTGGTAGAACACATGTCAATAGGCCCTGCAACATGGGATTTGTTGGTACAACACATGTCAATAGGCCCTGCAACATGGGATTTGTTGGTACAACACATGTCAATAGGCCCTGCAACATGGGATTTGTTGGTACAACACATGTCAAAAGGCCCTGCAACATGGGATTTGTTGGTACAACACATGTCAATAGGCCCTGCAACATGGGATTTGTTGGTACAACACATGTCAATAGGCCCTGCAACATGGGATTTGTTGGTACAACACATGTCAAAAGGCCATACAACATGGGATTTGTTGGTACAACACATGTCAATAGGCCCTGCAACATGGGATTTGTTGGTACAACACATGTCAATAGGCCCTGCAACATGGGATTTGTTGGTAAAACACATGTCAAAAGGCCATACAACATGGGATTTGTTGGTACAACACATGTCAATAGGCCCTGCAACATGGGATTTGTTGGTACAACACATGTCAAAAGGCCATAAGGGCATTGCTCTGCAACCTCACAAATAACAGAAAGCGAGGTAATCGAGAAGAATATTTTTTATATGTATAGCTCATACAAGTAGAATTTCAATCGTGGTCACTACATAGGCCCTATATATATATATATATATATATATATATATATATATATATATATATATATATATATATATATATATATATATATATATAGCTGTCTCACCAAATTTTAACTGATTTATTTAAACCACTTCCTAATTTAGTAATTTAACCTATTTCATTACAAAGTATATCCATCTTGAGACAACAAATCACACAAAAATATCTACCTATGCTCCATGTTTTATGGTTCCCCTTGTTTATGTTTTCTTTGCATTTATATTCATGATTTTTAATACATTCCTTTTTATAGCTATGTTATTCTTTAGTATGTCTTATTTTAACAATACTAAAAGAAGAAATTGCTTTTTAGTTTGCTTAGTATAAAACTATTAAAATGAGCTTTTTGGACACCCCTATTAGACTATTTAAAGAGGAGCTAGAAGTCATGGAAGAGGTTTGAAGGTTTGCTTATCTTTCATACAGCTCATCTAGTTGTTTTTTATTTATTTATTTTTTTTTTTTTTGTAAAAGGCAACAGTGCATGTTAGTAAATGTAGAACAATAGGCATAAAAAGCCTATGTAATCATACTCAATTTTTGAAAAAAAATCTTTTTAAGTAAAAAATTATAGTTACATTTGCAAAAATTAAAGCCGTTTGGAAACCATCGATTACACCCATTTTTTATATTTTTGTATCAAATATAATCCGCTTAAAAGCCGTTTAGAATTATTTTATCCATTCAAATATTTTCAAAAACTGCCCTCAACCTCTCCTTGAAGTCAACCGGAATGGCCCGGGAGAGTAGAACAATAAAAGTCAGAAAAATTGTTTTCAATGATAAAAATACACAAAATGTGTAGCCTATAGTGTAGTATTGTATTGATATTAAATAATATAATATCCCCAATCACCACAACACCCTGACTTCTAATCCAAATTAAAAATAAAAGTGTTTGCTTTGACTCTTTCTAGCCATAATAAAACCGGAAGTAGTTTTGTACTTATTACACAAATGTTATAAAATATCCAATTTTGATTGAAAAATAAGCTTTTTGGCAACACAAATTTGGAACCAGCTTTTCAAGATGATTACAGCTGTAGTAGATCTGTTTGTTTTTACACGGGTCTATCAGGTGCAGAAAATACGTTGTTTTGGTCGGACTTTGCCTGGGCCCACCCGTATTGCGGGGTCTGATGGTCTAGCAGTTACGTCCCTGACGTGAGTCAGGTACCCATTAGAGCTGGGTGGACTCAGTTGCATCCTGCATTCTAAAATCCAGACCGAGATTTGAACTCGAAAATGTCGGTCTAGCGGGCAAACAGTATTGAACACATATTGTTAAATCGTAATGGCTAATTAGTGCACATCAAATCAGGCAAATACTCTCATGTTCTGTCATTTTTTTCCTAAAGACATGTTCACCCTTCTCCCCCCCTCCCCCCCCCCCCCCCCCGCCCACAGACAAACACAAACACCGCCACTCAATCCACAAATAAAAAGCGATTAAAACAAAATGTCATCAAGTACATCAAGTAGTCAGTACTTGAATCTACTGGTCAAGTCATAAGTTTGAACTCTGACCTACCTATTTCTTGACTGCAGTGTGAGCAGTGCTGTAGACCACTCACAGCCACACCTCCATCAGCGGGAGGGGGAGGGGGGTGTGCAGGAACTGGCCTCTTGTCTTGCTGAGGGTAAAAGCCTTGCTGCTGCAGCACTTGGTCATACTGCTGCAGATGGTGATGTTGAGTCAGCTGCTGGTGATGTTGTGTCGGCTGCTGGTGATGTTGACTTGGCTGCTGGTGATGTTGTGTCGGCTGCTGGTGATGCGAGGCTTTGTGAAAGTTGTGCTCTGGCTGCGAGTGTGAGGAAGAGTGAGTACCGTGTGAGAGGTCACTGCCCCAAACATTAGCTGAAAGGTCACTTCCGCGCACATTTGCTGTTTTCTCCAGTAAAGTTTGTCGGATGGCCTTAGGCATTGAGCTCTGGGTTGGGGGGTTGTCCCGCCATCTGTTCTCATTGGCTGGTTTGATCGGGCCTGAAAACTGGGGTGATATGGCACGGGAACTTCTGTCAGGTTTTGCTGAATCAGCAAGTCTGCGCCTTTCAGCCTCCTCTATCAGCCAATGGTCTCCTGACATGGAGAACATTTTGCCAGAACTTGCAGCTTTCTTGTCTTTTCGCTGGACAGCTTGGGAAACTCTGGGCACATAAGAACTAGTGGACAAGTTCTGAGAACTAGTGGACAAGTGCTGAGAACTACTCAAGTTGTGAGAACTGCCAGAAATATTGTGGGTGCCACTTGATAGGTTGGCACTGCTGAACCATTGTGCAGAGTCTCGCAACTTGGCTTTGGGCACAGAGTTAAGGGAATGGATCTCCAGCCGCGATGGAGCCTCTCTGATGACTGGGCTGCGCCTCTCCACTGGGCTGCGCCTCTCCACTGGGCTGCCACCATTGTACTCTGTAGGCAAAGTGTGTAATGGAGTGGCTGTTCTGTTCATTGCTAACATTTCATCCCGAGAGAAATGTTGACTTCTTCTGTTAGCACTAGAGTCTGTCTGTGGTGCAGCCTTTGATAGAACCTTTGCCTCTTGCTGTTGATGCTCAACTCTTCCATTGGGTGTGTGATCTCTGCCATCTGGCCGAGGATGTGGCACGGGTTGATGTAGCTGCTGCTGAAGTCTCTTGAACTCTGCTTGTTCTCTAAGGAATATTGCTCTCTCTCTCTCTAGCTTCTCCTGTTACAAGATTAACTTCATGTTATTTGAATGCTGTCTCTTAGAACAAACACCAACTACTTTATGTACCCAGTGTAGGTCACACTTATTAGTTCCTACATCAAATGGCAGACTTGATGAGGATAAGACAAAACCTACATTAAACCTACACTAAAACTTTAAGAGGTTAATACAAAACCTACACTAAAACTTGCCAGGCTACATCAAATGGCAGACATGAAGAGGTTAAGACAAAACCTACACTAAACCTACACAAAACCTAAATAAAAACCTATGCTAAACCTACACAAAACCTACACTAAACCTACACAAAACGTACACTAAAACTTGCCAGGCTACTTACCTTTTCCAATTTGACCTGTTCTTCTCTCTCTCTCAATTCTCTCAGCTTAGCTTCCTCTCTTTCTCTTTGTTCTTTCTCCAGCCTCTTGCGTTCCTCCTCCAATTTTTTCAACTCCTCCTCTCGAATACGTTCTCTCTCAGCCTGAAGGAGGGCCTCTGTACTTGGCTCTGGAAGTCATTTCAAAATTATCTCCCCTCTTCTACATACTTCAATCAAACATCAAGACAGATCATATTTTTACTGTGCGGGGGGGGGGGGGGGGGGGGTGAGGGGGGGGAGAGGGGGGGGGAGGGGTTGTTGGAGACCAGGCCACAAAATAATCTTTTGGATGAAAATGTACTGACGTGTCATATGCTGGGGGTCATTAGGGTGCAGATGTACTCACCTGTCCGCTGAAATTGAACAGGTGCAAAATCCTTGAGAGGTGCTGCATTATTTCCTGTCTCTCCCAGGTAGTTGACAGGCTGGCCCTCTGGTGGCTGGTCACGTGACCTCACAAATGGCCTAGGGCCTTGAGTGTGGGGGCCTGTTGATGTGTGGGGGCCTGGACGTTGTGATGGTGTGTATTTGGTGTCAGTATTTGATGGTGTGTATTTGGTGTCAGTATTTGATGGTGTGTATTTGGTGTCAGTATTTGATGGTGTGTATTTGGTGTCAGTATTTGATGGTGTGTATTTGGTGTCAGTATTTGATGGTGTGTATTTGGTGTCAGTATTTGATGGTGTGTATTTGGTGTCAGTATTTGATGGTGTGTATTTGGTGTCAGTATTTGATGGTGTGTATTTGGTGTCAGTATTTGATGGTGTGTATTTGGTGTCAGTATTTGATGGTGTGTATTTGTTGTCAGTATTTGATGGTGTGTATTTGTTGTCAGAATTTGATGGTGTGTATTTGGTGTCAGTATTTGATGGTGTGTATTTGGTGTCAGTATTTGATGGTGTGTATTTGGTGTCAGTAGTTGATGGTGTGTATTTGGTGTCAGTATTTGATGGTGTGTATTTGGTGTCAGTAGTTGATGGTGTGTATTTGGTGTCAGTATTTGATGGTGTGTATTTGGTGTCAGTATTTGATGGTGTCAAAGCTTTGGATGTCTTCTCCGCCACCATGTCTGCGGCTGACTGCTGGATCCTGGCTCTTCTCTCAGCTCTCCTCTCCTCCAGGAGCCGGGCATTATCAGCTGACCACTGGCTGGCATTCTGGTCAGAAAACAAAAAGAAATATCTTGTGGCTGTAAGACTTGGTGGAAATGGATTCAATTTTAGATTATATTGAAAATTTCTTCAGATAATACTTTATCAGTGTTTCTTCCAGACTTTTTTCTCCGGGTGGGCACTTGAAATTTTCGCGGGGCGGACACTGTTAAAAGTATATATTTTCTATATAAATTGTATAAATTTCATTTCGTTCGGGGGGGGGGGGGGGGCGGTAGAATTTTTTTCGGGGGGCGTTGCCTTCCCTGAAGAGCAGCCTGGAAGAAACTCTGATCTTTATTCTTGGTATAAATGGTTTAGAAGATTTTAGAATATATTGAAAATGCCTTCAGATATTTTCTTTATTCTTTTTATAAATGGTTAAGAAGATTTTAGAATGTAAATCGTTTCAACCTCTTCTTGTCTGCTGTAGATTTCATCCATTGTTAGAATTGTCTGATTAGGTACATCACTGGACTCTGCCACAGACTTAAAAGCAAAATTGATCAACATTTATTCACTTATTTCCTAATTTATTTCATCAAAATAGATTCCAAAACAAACAGTAATAATTATCATAAAAAAGTTAAAAAAAAAAACAACGTTTTCTGATTGAACTAAAAAGTAGCAAATAAATGCTATACATCACAATAATGCAAGCGATCACTCTACTATAAGCGATGAAAAACGTAAGGCGCCGAAGTAAAAGTTTTTTATCGGTCTTTGTTAATATAAGTTGTAAAAGTTATATTACTATTGATTAGGCTAGATAATACTATTGACTTTTATTAGGGAGCTTGTAGAGTCAACAGTATTAGAAACTGTAAGAAAATCACGGCGCCCCACGTTTTTCATCGATTATAGTAGAGTGATCGCTTGCATTATTGTGATGTATAGCATTTATTTTCTACTTTTTAGTTCAATCAGAAAACGTTGGTTTTTAAAAACTTTTTTAATGATAATTATTTTCTACTTTTTATTCTTTGTCTGTTTGTTTGCATTCAAATCTTGCTATCGATTTTATCTTCTCGCATTTACTTTTTTTGTTTGGGTAAACGAATACAACTCGTAAAAAACACGTGCCTTTTCCAATCGACGTTTCTTCTGTGTTGCCATCAACATTCTATTTACTGATCAGTCAGATTTGCATAGGTTTGTACACAAACACCGCGTGACCACTACTCAGCCAATCGCGTGCTCGCTCCTTCAGTAAGCCACAAGAGGGAAAGTACCGAACCTTGTTTTCATCAAATTACAATTACTAGGTTATGTCCCTTTTTTGTACAAATATATAGGGGTCTAAAATGATCAATAAAATTTTTCCATGGATCAATTTAGTAATAATAATAATTGAATATTGTATTGTCATCGGAAACAAAGCTTCCCTGAAAATTTCAGCGCGCTAGCTAACTGGGAAGTGCCCGAAATTTCGATCGCAAGATTTGATTGGAAAAACAGACGCGAAAGCAAGTTAAAGAAAACGTGGGAAAAACAGTTCTTAATTATGAATGTAACCTTACCTTAGCGTTCTCTTCTATGAATGTAACCTTACCTTAGCGTTCTCTTCTATGAATGTAACCTTACCTTAGCGTTCTCTTCTATGAATGTAACCTTACCTTAGCGTTCTCTTCTATGAATCTAACCTTACCTTAGCGTTCTCTTCTAGAATGTAACCTTACCTTAGCGTTCTCTTCTAGAATGTAACATTACCTTAGCGTTCTGTTCTAGAATGTAACCTTACCTTAGCGTTCTTTTCTAGAATGTAACCTTACCTAAGCATTCTCTTCTAGAATGTAACCTTACCTTAGCGTTCTCTTCTAGAATGTAACATTACCTTAGCGTTCTCTTCTATGAATGTAACCTTACCTTAGCGTTCTCTTCTATGAATGTAACCTTACCTTAGCGTTCTCTTCTATGAATGTAACCTTACCTTAGCGTTCTCTTCTATGAATCTAACCTTAACTTAGCATTCTCTTCTAGAATGTAACCTTACCTTAGCGTTCTGTTCTAGAATGTAACCTCACCTTAGCGTTCTGTTCTAGAATGTAACCTTACCTTAGCGTTCTCTTCTATATTAGCGCTGTAGCCCTGGACGTGTTTGTTTGCAAACTCTGTGGAAAAATGCACAACCCTTAGCCACACAGGTCTCAACCCACACAACCCTTTACCCCACACATCTCACCCCCACACAACCCTTTACCCCACACATCTCACCCCCACACAACCCTTTACCCCACACATCTCACCCCCACACAACCCTTTACCCCACACATCTCACCCCCACACAACCCTTTACCCCACACATCTCACCCCCACACAACCCTTAGCCACACATGTCTCACTCCCACACAACCCTTAGCCACACATGTCCCACCCCCACACAACCCTTTGCCACACACGTCTCACCCCCACACAGCCCTTAGCCATACATGTCTCACCCCCACACAACCCTTAGCCACACATGTCTCACTCCCACACAACCCTTAGCCACACATGTCTCACCCCCACACAACCCTTAGCCCCACATGACTTACCCTCACACAACCCTTTACCCCACACATCTCACCCCCACACAACCCTTTACCCCACACATCTCACCCCCACACAACCCTTTACCCCACACATCTCACCCCCACACAACCCTTAGCCACACATGTCTCACCCCCACACAACCCTTAGCCACACACGTCTCACCCCCACACAACCCTTATCCACACACGTCTCACCCCCACACATGTCTCACCCCCACACAACCCTTAACCACACATGTCTCACCCCACACAACCCTTTACCCCACACATCTCACCCCCCACACAACACAGCCACACATGTCTCACCCCCACACAACATAGCCACACATGTCTCACCCCCACACAACCCTTAACCACACATGTCTCACCCCCACACAACCCTTGGCCACACACGTCTCACCCCACACAACACAGCCACACATGTCTCACCCCCACACAACACAGCCACACATGTCTCACCCCACACAACCCTTGGCCACACACGTCTCACCCCACACAACACAGCCACACATGTCTCACCCCCACACAACACAACCACACAAAATGTCTCACCAACACCCAACACAACACACACTAAGCTGCAGAAGTAACATTAGCACAAGTGACCCTGACCTTCATCTCTAGCCTGAAGGTCAAGTTCAAGGTGTGTGAGCGAGGCATTGAGGCTGATCCTTTTAAATGTTTCAGGGTTGGAGTCGTACGTGTCAAATGTGTACTCTTCTTTGTGACGCTGTCGCTGCCATTTGCGCAAGATAGCTGGGGGCCCTGAGCCATCACTGTCATCATCAGCCATTGGGGCAGAGGAGGGAGAAGGCTTAGATGACGATGATGACATTGTTCCATCTTTGAATAAAAATAGCATGTAATGATTACATGACAAATAAAGTGGGAGAGAAGTCCACTAAACTTGTGTACAAAATTAAGGATAGTGAATTGGGCTATAGAAACATCGAAGTTTTTGACTAAACTGCTGGGCTATAGAAATATCGAAGTTTAGTCGGTAAAGCTCATGGTTGCTAAACCGACATGTCTCGAGTTCTAACCCTCGGGCAGATGAGGCTCGTTAGCTGGGGACAGCCACTCTTCTAGGAGAGATAACTCCAAAATCAAACAACTGCTGCCTTGTAGTTTGTTCTTGGTTGGACAAAGGCTATGGAAGCCACTCTTCTAGGAGAGACAACTCCAAAATCAAACAACTGCTGCCTTGTAGTTTGTTCTTGGTAGGACAAAGGCTATGGAAGCCACTCTTCTAGGAGAGACAACTCCAAAATCAAACAACTGCTGCCTTGTAGTTTGTTCTTAGCCGTGGAAGCAAATCCAAAAAGAAAAGCAGGCTGAAATCGTAGTCAATGGCCTTAATGGCGCATAACCAGTTGACACATGTACTTAATTATGTTGGAGGGGATCCCTTCCAACATTAAAATTAAGAACGAAGAAAAAGAAAAAGATATTTGTATTGAAATGAGAATTATTTGTATATAGGCTGTTTTCGTTTCCAATTTTGAAATTTGTGATTTTAGATATGAACTGACCAATAGAATCCAGGCTTCTGTCGACTGTTACACTTAGTCTGGTCTGAGGTTCCATCGGGCTCAACATAGGGGGAGGAACTGGGGGAGCCTGGAAAACATTTACAGGAGCATGAGAATGATGTGGGACAGAATTGAGTTGACTGCAGCTAGCTAAAAGGTTACATCTTTAGAAGCCAGTACAGCTGCTGTCTCTATTTTTATTTTAGTTTATAGTGCTAATTGCATAAATAATTTTAATGCATTATAGGCCTATATCTGACATCATGTCTGACATCATCTGACATCATCACTAAAATGTCTGACATCATCTGACATCATCACTGCCATGTCTGACATCATCTGACATCATCACTACCATAACTGACATCATCTGACATCATCACTGCCATGTCTGACATCATCTGACATCATCACTACCATGTCTGACATCATCTGACATCATCACTAAAATGTCTGACATCATCTGACATCATCACTGCCATGTCTGACATCATCACTAAAATGTCTGACATCATCTGACATCATCACTACCATGACTGACATCATTAAGAAAACTAAAGGGACTACCTGTGCTCTACTGGTCGAAGCAAAAGTTGGGCTATGAGATTCCAGACTTTCATCTTCACTAGAGAACTCATCATCCTCCTCTTCTTCTTCTGTTTAGAAAGAGAACAATTATCTACCTGCGTTAATTACCTGCGTTAATTAATTGTGAAGGAAAATATAAAATTCTGCGGGAAAAAAAATATGCAGGAGAGGGGAAGGGGGGGGGGGGGGAATTATGAGGAAAAAAAGAAATTCTGAGGAAAAAAATTCTGACCAAAATTTTGTTCTCGTCGTATCTTGAGTTGAATGTGTCCCAGTGTGACAGCTTTAGCCACAATGTCACCAACTTGTGTCGCTGACATACATGTGACATCTACATTATTGACTGACAGTATGACATCTTTCAGCCTCAACTCGCTTAAGTCAGCTCCACTGCCTGAATAAAAAAACAGATGAGGCATGACTCAATAGTTAACTTGGCTGACTGTGATAGGTGCCTAATGTGACTTGAATGATTGTGTAGGTAACTCACCTAATGTGACTTTACTGACTGTGATAGGTGCCTAATGTGACTTGAATGATTGTGTAGGTGCCTAATATGACTTGAATGACTGTGATAGGTGCCTAATGTGACTTTACTGACTGTGATAGGTGCCTAATGTGACTTGAATGACTGTGATAGGTGCCTAATGTGACTTGGCTGACTGTGATGGGTGCCTAATGTGACTTGAATGATTGTGATAGGTGCCTAATGTGACTTGAATGACTGTGTAGGTAACTCACCTAATGTGACTTGAATGATTGTGATAGGTGCCTAATGTGACTTGAATGACTGTGTAGGTAACTCACCTAATGTGACTTGAATGACTGTGATAGGTGCCTAATGTGACTTGAATGATTGTGATAGGTGCCTAATGTGACTTGAATGATTGTGATAGGTGCCTAATGTGACTTGAATGACTGTGTAGGTAACTCACCTAATGTGACTTGAATGACTGTGTAGGTAACTCACCTAATGTGACTTGAATGACTGTGTAGGTAACTCACCTAATGTGACTTGAATGACTGTGTAGGTAACTCACCTAATGTGACTTGAATGACTGTGTAGGTAACTCACCTAATGTGACTTGAATGACTGTGTAGGTAACTCACCTAATGTGACTTGAATGACTGTGTAGGTAACTCACCTAATGTGACTTGAATGACTGTGTAGGTAACTCACCTAATGTGACTTGAATGACTGTGTAGGTAACTCACCTAATGTGACTTGAATGATTGTGTAGGTAACTCACCTAATGTGACTTTACTGACTGTGTAGGTAACTCACCTAATGTGACTTGAATGACTGTGTAGGTAACTCACCTAATGTGACTTGAATGACTGTGTAGGTAACTCAACTAATGTGACTTGAATGATTGTGTAGGTAACTCACCTAATGTGACTTGAATGATTGTGTAGGTAACTCACCTAATGTGACTTGAATGACTGTGTAGGTAACTCAACTAATGTGACTTGAATGATTGTGTAGGTAACTCACCTAATGTGACTTGAATGATTGTGTAGGTAACTCACCTAATGTGACTTTACTGACTGTGATAGGTAACCCTAAGTCAGCTCCACCAGTCAGGAAAAATCCAAATCCTCTTTCATTGTTTGCATGCTGACTTATCACAATGGTTTTCTCAATAGCTTTCTGTTGAAGAAGACAATTTCAGTGCTTGACTTCTCTCATATTTTTTGACTTTAATCAAATTTTAATACTTTCAAAATTTAAATCAAGGCAGATATGACTTCAGTCAATTATTATGACTTCAGTACAATTATGACTTCATTTAAAGTGTTTACTTTGTCCACAAGATCTTTGTTTGTAGCTTGTTTGTAGGTTTGCAGAAAATCTTTGAAACTAATTTTAATCTACTGCTAATGAGGCAATTTTGTTAACTGCAATTACATTACTCTCTGATGGTAATACAAGAATATTTAGTTTTTAATCAAATTAGACATTAGATTAGTCATTAAAATGTGTTTAACGATTAGAAAATTACAAACTAAAAGATGAACAGATTAAATCCCATCAGCTAGAAGACGACCTTGAACTTTTCTTGAGTCAAAAATAGACTAAGAAGGGGCAGATAACTGCTTCTTACATATTGTAGATGATAGTGAAATGTGGTGTCGACTTCTTTAAAAAATAATAAAAAACCGAGTAGACAAAATAAAAAGTAAAAACTGTTATGTAATTCATAACAAGCTTTCAACAGTGTACTCACATTAAGTTTGTGACTGTTGCTGTGTGTGGGCTGACTGTTGCTGTGTGTGGGCTGACTGTTGCTGTGTGTGGGCTGACTATTGCTGTGTGTGGGCTGACTATTGCTGTTTGTTGAGAGATTTGATGTCAAAATGGCTGCAGCTAAATCTGGCATCTGATGGTCATGTTTCTCTCTTTGGTCACTTCCATAGCTTTCATTGCCCTCTTCCTCATCGCTTGACTCATGTCTATGAGGCTCCTGTATCTGTAAATCATAGATTGGCTCATGTCTATGAGGCTCCTGTCTCTGTAAGCCCAAGTTTGGATCCTTTCTGTCTGGCTCACTGTATGGCTCACTGCCTGGCTCACTGTCTGGCTCACTGTATGGCTCACTGTATGGCTCACTGTATGGCTCCTGTGTCTCTCTAAGGAATGCGCTCCTTCTGTCACTAAAATCAATTTTCTCATTGTAACCCTGCTTGGGCTGGGCTGTCTTATTTTCTGATTCCGTCAAAGTTTTCATGATGCTGCCAATTTTACTCTGGGTCCTGGAGCCCACATTGCCAGTTGTTGTAATGTGGGTCTCAGAATCTCTTTTATTCCAGGAATCTTGGAACTTGTTTCTTGTACTCGAGCTACTCTCTCTGCTAGCATAATTTTCTCGTATGACTGAAGCTGCCTGAGCCTCCAAGGGTTGACTGCGTGACTTGCTTTTATCTGCAGAACTTTTGCCCAGCTTCTCAGGAAATCTCTGATACTTGTTTAATGAGGAAGTGCTGACTTTGCTAAAACTTGTATCATTGTCATCATCATCAAATGCTTGCAGCTTCTGGCTCAGCCTTGACCTAGAGGAGGGCAGGGTCAAGGCACTGTTATTGTTTTGATCATCTGTTTTGGAACTGCTCTTGTCTCCATCCTCTTTGGCCCAGTCCGCCACTCCATCCCCTACACTATAGGCTGGGCTTGCCTGTACAAGGACCAATCAATCAATTAGTGGTAGAGGCAGGGCAGTTACACGGATATGAAGCCACCACCCCACCCCTTTCCAAGGTATGGAAACTATAAGTTCTCATATAGTTACAATTATTAGGGTAAGGGTTAGTTTTTATCAACAATAAAGAAAAGTCAACAGTTAAGTCATGTTGCTTTCAAAATGTTTAATGACATCAAATTAAAATTTGAACTAGAAAGCAACATAACCCCACTGTTTACAAAAGCTCTATTTAAACCTAACTGGAACAGCTATCATTTTATGATTCTAGAATATTAAGGTGAACTCTCTCCCTCTGTATCTATCAATATATATTTATAAACATGTCAGCTAGTTTACCTCCCCATGTCAGCTAGTTTACCTCCCCTTGTCATCTAGTTTACCTCCCCGTGTCATCTAGTTTACCTCCCCATGTCATCTAGTTTACCTACCCGTGTCATCTAGTTTACCTCCCCATGTCATCTAGTTTACCTCCCCATGTCATCTAGTTTACCTCCCTATGTCATCTAGTTTACCTCCCCTTGTGAGCTAGTTTACCTCTTTATGTCATCTAGTCAGGGACGTAATTTTCTTTCATTTTTGACTTGATAGTTGTTTTGTTAAAAGAATACTGTAGCTGCGGTTGGATTATCTTTATTCTATAGACACCATCCCACGCTCTTGTAAAATTATTCTTTTTCCCTTTGTTTTTAAATTATTGAGAAAGATAGGCAAACGTTTCAACCACTTCCATGACTTATTTCCCTTTTTTAAATAGTCAAATAGGGGTGCTCATAATCTCATTTTAATAGATTAACAATTAAAAAGGAATTACTTCTCTTAATTATTTTTTTAAAAATACATACTAAAGAATGACATAGTGTAAAAAGGGAATGTATTTAAAATTAATAATATAAATATAAAAAGACATAAAAATAAACATAACACGTGAAACAATTACATATACAAAGCTTTGGTATTTCAAATTCTTTTGGCCGACATTATAAAACACATTTTCAAAACAGACTAATGCACTCACACACATGAGATGCTGTTGTAATTTGTTTTTAATTGAAAAAACAACAAAAGACATTTTTCAAAACCTGATCAGGCCAGAAATGAGTATCCTATGTTCATATTTTGCATATGTACAATTTATATATATATATATATATATATATATATATATATATATATATATATATATATATATATATGTATATATGTATATATGTATATATGTATATATGTATATATGTATATATGTATATATGTATATATATATATATATATATATATATATATATATATATATATATATATATATATATATGGGGGCCAAATAATTTTTTTTGCGGGGTGGCCCTTTTTTCTAGTTCCGCCACTGCATCTAGTTTACCTCCCCTTGTGAGCTAGTTTACCTCCCCATGTCAGCTAGTTTACCAAAGCTAACCTTGGTGACAGCACTAGTTAGACTGGGAACAGCTTCGCTTGTGAAGGCATCATCTTCTCCTTCATCAGTGGGGTAAAAACTTTTTCTTTTCTCTCTGCAATCAATCAAATGTCTCATGTCCTCAAGTGCTAAATTATCACATGTCCTCAAGTGCTAAATTATCACATGTTCTCAAGTGCTAAATTATCACATGTCCTCCAGTGCTAAAATATCACATGTCCTCAAGTGCTAAATTATCACATGTTCTCAAGTGCTAAATTGTCACATATCCTCAAGTGCTAAATTATCACATGTTCTCAAGTGCTAAATTATCACATGTCCTCAAGTGCTAAATTATCACATGTTCTCAAGTGCTAAATTGTCACATGTCCTCAAGTGCTAAATTATCACATGTTCTCAAGTGCTAAATTATCACATGTCCTCAAGTGCTAAATTATCACATGTTCTCAAGTGCTAAATTGTCACATGTCCTCAAGTGCTAAATTATCACATGTTCTCAAGTGCTAAATTATCACATGTCCTCAAGTGCTAAATTATCACATGTTCTCAAGTGCTAAATTGTCACATGTCCTCAAGTGCTAAATTATCAAATGTCCTCAAGTGCTAAATTATCACATGTTCTCAAGTGCTAAATTATCACATGTCCTCAAGTGCTAAATTATCACATGTCCTCAAGTGCTAAATTATCACATGTCCTCAAGTGCTAAATTATCACATGTCCTCAAGTGCTAAATTATCACATGTTCTCAAGTGCTAAATTGTCACATGTCCTCAAGTGCTAAATTATCACATGTTCTCAAGTGCTAAATTATCACATGTCCTCAAGTGCTAAATTATCACATGTTCTCAAGTGCTAAATTGTCACATGTCCTCAAGTGCTAAATTATCACATGTTCTCAAGTGCTAAATTATCACATGTCCTCAAGTGCTAAATTATCACATGTTCTCAAGTGCTAAATTGTCACATGTCCTCAAGTGCTAAATTATCAAATGTCCTCAAGTGCTAAATTATCACATGTTCTCAAGTGCTAAATTATCACATGTCCTCAAGTGCTAAATTATCACATGTCCTCAAGTGCTAAATTATCACATGTCCTCAAGTGCTAAATTATCACATGTCCTCAAGTGCTAGGTTGTATTGTATTAATAAAAACCAACAGCCATCCCATAAAAACCCCTCAATTTAAACCACTAACCAAAAAACCACCAGCCACCCAAGAAAAACCACCTACCTGTCCTCCTTCATCTGTGTGTATGTTTTAGGAGCAACATAACTTTCTTCCTGCTCTTGTTGAAGGAGATAGCTTTTCTCTGACTGGCTCTTTCTGCGGTTTTTCCATGTGCTCAAGTTCTGTGCATAATTAATGGTACATTCATTGCAAATGACAAAAGGAATCTATGGAATATCCTACTTGACAAAAGTGATTTAATATCTAAAGGATGGTAACATATCTATTTCTCTAGGTCAATATGACTTAAGACAAGGGTAACATATATATCTTGAACATATTTTATTTTCAATGGCTGATATGATGTATTACCACCATTGAATTGACGTACACATATAATTTGTACAAATAACAGCTATTGAAATGACTTCCAAACTGCCAATAAAATAAGAGAGTAGTAAAATACAGTTTGCCAATAAAATAAGAGAGTAGTAAAATACAAACAGATTGCCAATAAAATAAGAGAGTAGTAAAATACAAACAGATTGCCAATAAAATAAGAGAGTAGTAAAATACAAACAGATTGCCAATAAAATAAGAGAGTAGTAAAATACAAACAGATTGCCAATAAAATAAGAGAGTAGTAAAATACAAACAGATTGCCAATAAAATAAGAGAGTAGTAAAATACAAACAGATTGCCAATAAAATAAGAGAGTAGTAAAATACAAACAGATTGCCAATAAAATAAGAGAGTAGTAAAATACAGATTGCCAATAAAATAAGAGAGTAGTAAAATACAAACAGATTGCCAATAAAATAAGAGAGTAGTAAAATACAAACAGATTGCCAATAAAATAAGAGAGTAGTAAAATACAAACAGATTGCCAATCAGCATCTTCGTCGCTGGCCCGGGTCAACGCTGCACCTTGCTTGCTCTCTGCTGCGATCCTCATCTGCACTTCTGCAGTGTGGGCCAAGTCTTTGGCACCACGCAGCTTGACAAACTGTAAGGGGTCTGTACTGGCTGAAGGCTTACGGCTTGTCTGGGAACTCTTCCTAAAGGCAGCCAGAGGGCACAGGTAAATACAGGTGGGACCACAGGTAAATACAGGAGGGCCATAGGTAAATACAGGAGGGCCACAGGTAAATAGAGATGGGACCACAGGTAAATACAGGTGGGATCACAAGTAAGTACAGGGGGGACCACAGGTAAATACAGGAGGGCCACAGGTAAATACAGGAGGGACCAAAGGTAAGTACAGGTGGGACCACAGGTAAATACAAGTGTGACCACAGGTAAATACAGGTGGGACCACAGGTAAATACAGGTGGTACCGAAGGTAAGTACAGGTGGGCCACAGGTAAATACAGGTGGGACCACAGGTAAGTACAGGTGGGACATGGTAAATACAGGAGGGCCACAGGTAAATACAGGTGGGACCACAGGTAAATACAGGTGGGCCACAGGCAAGTATAGGTGGGACAAAGGGTAAATACAGGTGGGCCACACGTAAGTACAGGTGGGACCACAGGTAAATACAGGTGGGCCACAGGTAAGTACAGGTGGGACCACAGGTAAATACAGGTGGGACCACAGGTAAATACAGGTGGGACCACAGGTAAATACAGGTGGGCCACAGGTAAATACAGGAGGGCCACAGGTAAATACAGGTGGGCCACAGGTAAATACAGGTAGGACCAAAGGTAAGTACAGGTGGGACACTGTATATACAGGAGGGCCACAGGTAAATACAGGTGGGACCACAGATAAATACAGGAGGGCTATAGGTAAGTACAGGTGGGATCACAGGTAAGTACAGGTGGGACCACAGGTAAGTACAAATGGGACCACAGGTAAATACAGGTGAGACCACATGTAAATACAGGTGGGCCACAGGTAAGTACAGGTGGGACCACAGGTAAATACAGGTGGGACCACAGGTAAATACAGGAGGGCGACAGGTAAATACAGGTGGGATCACAGGTAAATACAGGTGGGATCACAGGTAAGTACAGGTGGGACCACAGGTAAATACAGGTGGGACCACAGGTAAATACAGGAGGGCCACAGGTAAGTACAGGTGGGACCACAGGTAAGTACAGGTGGGACCACAGGTAAGTACAGGTGGGACCACAGGTAAATACAGGTGGGACCACAGGTAAGTACAGGTGGGACCACAGGTAAATACAGGTGGGACCACAGGTAAGTACAGGTGGGACCACAGGTAAATACAGGAGGGCCACAGGTAAATACAGGAGGGCCACAGGTAAGTACAGGTGGGACCAAAGGTAAGTACAGGTGGGACCACAGGTAAATACAGGTGGGCCAAGGTAAATACAGGTGGGACCAAAGGTAAGTACAGGTGGGACACCGTATATACAGGAGGGCCACAGGTAAATACAGATGGGACCACAGATAAATACAGGAGGGCTATAGGTAAGTACAGGTGGGATCACAGGTAGGTACAGGTGGGACCACAGGTAAGCACAAGTGGGACCACAGGTAAGTACAGGTGGGACCACTGGTAAATACAGATGGAACCTCAGGTAAGTACAGTTGAGACCACAGGTAAATACAAGTGGGCCACAGGTAAGTACAGGTGGGACCACAGGTAAATACAGGTGGGACCACAGGTAAATACAGGTGGGACCACAGGTAAATACAAGTGTGACCACAGGTAAATACAGGTGGGACCACAGGTAAATACAGGTGGTACCGAAGGTAAGTACAGGTGGGCCACAGGTAAATACAGGTGGGACCACAGGTAAGTACAGGTGGGACATGGTAAATACAGGAGGGCCACAGGTAAATACAGGTGGGACCACAGGTAAATACAGGTGGGCCACAGGCAAGTATAGGTGGGACAAAGGGTAAATACAGGTGGGCCACACGTAAGTACAGGTGGGACCACAGGTAAATACAGGTGGGCCACAGGTAAGTACAGGTGGGACCACAGGTAAATACAGGTGGGACCACAGGTAAATACAGGTGGGACCACAGGTAAATACAGGTGGGCCACAGGTGAATACAGGAGGGCCACAGGTAAATACAGGTGGGCCACAGGTAAATACAGGTAGGACCAAAGGTAAGTACAGGTGGGACACTGTATATACAGGAGGGCCACAGGTAAATACAGGTGGGACCACAGATAAATACAGGAGGGCTATAGGTAAGTACAGGTGGGATCACAGGTAAGTACAGGTGGGACCACAGGTAAGTACAAATGGGACCACAGGTAAATACAGGTGAGACCACATGTAAATACAGGTGGGCCACAGGTAAATACAGGTGGGCCACGGGTAAGTACAGGTGGGACCACAGGTAAATACAGGTGGGACCACAGGTAAATACAGGAGGGCCACAGGTAAATACAGGTGGGATCACAGGTAAATACAGGTGGGATCACAGGTAAGTACAGGTGGGACCACAGGTAAGTACAGGTGGGACCACAGGTAAATACAGGAGGGCCACAGGTAAGTACAGGTGGGACCACAGGTAAGTACAGGTGGGACCACAGGTAAGTACAGGTGGGACCACAGGTAAATACAGGTGGGACCACAGGTAAGTACAGGTGGGACCACAGGTAAATACATGTGGGACCACATGTAAATACAGGTGGGACCACAGGTAAATACCGGTGGGACCACAGGTAAGTACAGGTGGGACCACAGGTAAATACAGGAGGGCCACAGGTAAATACAGGAGGGCCACAGGTAAGTACAGGTGGGACCAAAGGTAAGTACAGGTGGGACCACAGGTAAATACAGGTGGGCCAAGGTAAATACAGGTGGGACCAAAGGTAAGTACAGGTGGGACACCGTATATACAGGAGGGCCACAGGTAAATACAGATGGGACCACAGATAAATACAGGAGGGCTATAGGTAAGTACAGGTGGGATCACAGGTAGGTACAGGTGGGACCACAGGTAAGTACAAGTGGGACCACAGGTAAGTACAGGTGGGACCACTGGTAAATACAGGTGGAACCTCAGGTAAGTACAGGTGAGACCACAGGTAAATACAAGTGGGCCACAGGTAAGTACAGGTGGGACCACAGGTAAATACAGGTGGGACCACAGGTAAATACAGGTGGGACCACAGGTAAATACAGGTGAGCCACAGGTAAATACAGGAGGGCCACAGGTAAATACAGGTGGGCCACAGGTAAATACAGGGGGGACCACAGGTAAATACAGGAGGGCTATAGGTAAGTACAGGTGGGATCACAGGTAAGTACAGGTGGGACCACATGTAAGTACACGTGGGACCACAGGTAAATACAGGAGGGACCACAGGTAAATACAGGTGGGACCACAGGTAAATACAGGTGAGACCACAGGTAAATACAGGTGGGCCACAGGTAAATACAGGTGGGCCAAAGAAAAATACAGGTGGGACTACAGGTAAATACAAGTGGGACCACAGGTAAATACAGGAGGGCCACAGGTAAATACAGGTGGGATCACAGGTAGGTACAGGTGGGACCACAGGTAAGTACAAGTGGGACCACAGGTAAGTACAGGTGGGACCACTGGTAAATACAGGTGGAACCTCAGGTAAGTACAGGTGATACCACAGGTAAATACAAGTGGGCCACAGGTAAGTACAGGTGGGACCACAGGTAAATACAGGTGGGACCACAGGTAAATACAGGTCGGACCACAGGTAAATACAGGTGGGCCACAGGTAAATACAGGAGGGCCACAGGTAAATACAGGTGGGCCACAGGTAAATACAGGGGGGACCACAGGTAAATACAGGAGGGCTATAGGTAAGTACAGGTGGGATCACAGGTAAGTACAGGTGGGACCACATGTAAGTACACGTGGGACCACAGGTAAATACAGGAGGGACCACAGGTAAATACAGGTGGGACCACAGGTAAATACAGGTGAGACCACAGGTAAATACAGGTGGGCCACAGGTAAATACAGGTGGGCCAAACAAAAATACAGGTGGGACCACAGGTAAATACAAGTGGGACCACAGGTAAATACAGGAGGGCCACAGGTAAATACAGGTGGGATCACAGGTAAGTACAGGGGGGACCACAGGTAAATACAGGAGGGCCACAGGTAAATACAGATGGGACCACAGGTAAATACAGGTGGGATCACAGGTAAGTACAGGGGGGACCACAGGTAAATACAGGAGGGCCACAGGTAAATACAGGTGGGCCACAGGTAAATACAGGTGGGACCACCGGTAAGCACAGGTGGGACACGGTAAATACAGGAGGGCCACAGGTAAATACAGGTGGGACCACAGGTAAATACAGGTGGGCCACAGGCAAGTACAGGTGGGACAACAGGTAAATACAGGTGGGCCACAGGTCAATACAGGTGGGACCACAGGTAAATACAGGTGGGCCACAGGTAAGTACAGGTGGGACCACAGGTAAATACAGGTGGGCCACATGTAAATACAGGTGGGACCAAAGGTAAGTACAGGTGGGACCACAGGTAAGTACAGGTGGGACCACTGGTAAATACAGGTGGAACCACAGGTAAGTACAGGTGAGACCACAGGTAAATACAGGTGGACCACAGGTAAGTACAGGTGGGACCACAGGTAAATACAGGTGGGACCACAGGTAAATACAGGTGGGACCACAGGTAAATACAGGTGGGCCACAGGTAAATACAGGAGGGCCACAGGTAAATACAGGTGGGCCACAGGTAAATACAGATGGGACCAAAGGTAAGTACAGGTGGGACACCGTATATACAGGAGAGCCACAGGTAAATACAGGTGGGACATGGTAAGTAGAGGTGAGACCACAGGTAAGTTCAGGTGGGACCACGGGTAAGTTCAGGTGGGACCACAGGTAAGTACAGCCCACTTTCTGCCTGTAAAACCTGCTCACCTGCGAGTGGGGTAGCCGACTTCTTGACTGTCAGAGCTCTGACGTGAGTGAGCCCCTGAGGTGTGGGAGTCATCCAAGCTATCAGTGGACGAGTACCTCCTGTGTGAGCTGCCGGCATGACTTAAGTCAGGTGTGCTCTTGTCGGCATGACTTAAGTCAGGTGTGCTCTTGTCGGCTTGACTTAAGTCAGGTGTGCTCTTGTAGGTGCTGTTGTACCGCTCCTCACTGTAGCTGGAGTTGAAGGCCTGAAGCGACTGGCGGTTAAGTGCACTAGCACTGCTGTATCGTGCCATGGGCATGTCGGGTTCGTCTAAGCTTTCACAAGATTCTGTCCAGCAAAAACATTCACAACTTTATTCATATGCTACCAAAACGATTACAATGATCTTAGGTTAAAATAAGCTAAGAGACTGAATTGAACAGGCTAGACATAGTAGAGAAAAGAGAACCTTTTTCGTAGGAATCAAAAGAACTCTCAGACACATTGAGTGTTCCATGGGGCCAGTCCCATTGTTGGAGCTTGGAGCTATCTGCTGTGGTGGACGACTGGACGCTCTCAGGATTCGTGTGCTTCTGGTGGATGAGGGCAGAGAAGGCACTGAAATCAAGCAGTGGACCTTGTTTGGCCGTCACCTTGCCGAGCCAGTAGATTGTCACTATCACCTGAAAAAATACATTCACCTTAGTTTATAAGTCACATCTTACCGTGTGCTTTGACGTCATATCTTACCGTGTGGTTTGACGTCATATCGTAACGTGTGCTTTGACGTCATATCTTACCGCGTGGTTTGACGTCATCTCGTAACGTGTGGTTGTGTGGGAAGCTACCATTCATACAATAAATCTTACTTGTAAAACGTTTATAGATTCCAATGTGCGTAGTTCAGATCATGTTTACACTCATGTACAAATATTTATGTGCACGATATGCATCTCATGATGTGCATCTCATGATGTGTACTCGTGATGTGTACTCACGATGTGCATCTCATGATGTGTACTCACGATGTGCATCTCATGATGTGTACTCACGATGTGCATCTCATGATGTGCATCTCATGATGTGTACTCACGATGTGCATCTCATGATGTGTACTCACGATGTGCATCTCATGATGTGTACTCACGATGTGCATCTCATGATGTGCATCTCATGATGTGTACTCACGATGTGCATCTCATGATGTGTACTCACGATGTGCATCTCATGATGTGCATCTCATGATGTGCATCTCATGATGTGCATCTCATGATGTGTACTCACGATGTGCATCTCATGATGTGTACTCACGATGTGCATCTCATGATGTGTACTCACGATGTGCATCTCATGATGTGCATCTCATGATGTGCATCTCACGATGTGTATCTCATGATGTGCATCTCACGATGTGCATCTCATGATGTGCATCTCATGATGTGCATCTCACGATGTGCATCTCATGATGTGCATCTCATGATGTGCATCTCATGATGTGCATCTCACGATGTGTATCTCATGATGTGCATCTCACGATGTGCATCTCATGATGTGCATCTCACGATGTGCATCTCATGATGTGCATCTCATGATGTGCATCTCACGATGTGCATCTCACGATGTGCATCTCATGATGTGCATCTCATGATGTGCATCTCATGATGTGCATCTCATGATGTGTACAGCTTTCGTGTGATTACAGATCCGTTAGCGTTCACACATTAGTACACGTCATGTGTACACATACCTCAACGTGTGTACATCACGTCATGTGTACACATACCTATAGTGTGTACATCACGTCATGTGTACACATACCTCTACGTGTGTACGTCATGTGTACACATACCTCTACGTGTGTACATCACGTCATGTGTACATCACGTCATGTGTACACATACCTCTACGTGTGTACATCACGTCATGTGTACACATACCTCTACGTGTGTACATCACGTCATGTGTACACATACCTCTACGTGTGTACATCACGTCATGTGTACACATACCTCTACGTGTGTACGTCATGTGTACACATACCTCAACGTGTGTACATCACGTCATGTGTACATCACGTCATGTGTACACATACCTATAGTGTGTACATCACGTCATGTGTACACATACCTCTACGTGTGTACGTCATGTGTACACATACCTCTACGTGTGTACATCACGTCATGTGTACATCACGTCATGTGTACACATACCTCTACGTGTGTACATCACGTCATGTGTACACATACCTATAGTGTGTACATCACGTCATGTGTACACATACCTCTACGTGTGTACGTCATGTGTACACATACCTCAACGTGTGTACATCACGTCATGTGTACATCACGTCATGTGTACACATACCTATAGTGTGTACATCACGTCATGTGTACACATACCTCTACGTGTGTACGTCATGTGTACACATACCTCTACGTGTGTACATCACGTCATGTGTACATCACGTCATGTGTACACATACCTCTACGTGTGTACATCACGTCATGTGTACACATGCCTCTACGTGTGTACATCACGTCATGTGTACACATACCTCAACGTGTGTACATCACGTCATGTGTACACATACCTATAGTGTGTACATCACGTCATGTGTACACATACCTCTACGTGTGTACGTCATGTGTACACATACCTCAACGTGTGTACATCACGTCATGTGTACATCACGTCATGTGTACACATACCTATAGTGTGTACTTCACGTCATGTGTACACATACCTCTACGTGTGTACGTCATGTGTACACATACCTCTACGTGTGTACATCACGTCATGTGTACATCACGTAATGTGTACACATACCTCTACGTGTGTACATCACGTCATGTGTACACATACCTCTACGTGTGTACATCACGTCATGTGTACACATACCTCTACGTGTGTACGTCATGTGTACACATACCTCTACGTGTGTACATCACGTCATGTGTACACTTACCTATAGTGTGTACATCACGTCATGTGTACACATACCTCTACGTGTGTACATTTGTCGGTCGAGAACGTGACACGCTAAAAACCTGAGAACGCCCACTTGATAGACCCTGTCATAAAAGTCGGAACATTCTAGACATTCCTACCTGTAGCGGTGACTAGCCGCACAAAAGCTTGATGGCAATTCTTGTCAGGCTGGGCGCCATCTTTAAATCTAGCCTCAACTCATCGAACACACTGGCACAATCGATCGCCTCACAGCAAGCAATGTGTTACCACACAATAAATAACACACCAGTAGCACACTAACACTTGTATAACGATCACACAGTAAAGCCAGGCTACCACTCAAAGACCATGGATAACCCATGTTGCTATAAATAGCTTCAATTTAAGGTGTAAGTATTGATTGTTGCAGCGACATTCTTCATGCGATAGTCAGAAGGCTAGTCATCAATTACAATCATCACAACATTCATATATATATATATATATATATATATATATATATATATATATATATATATATATATATATGTATATATTACAAAATATACCGTATGTACACAATACTAAAAATAGAAGTGAAACTGCGTCAGGCTGTCGTATCTGTTCCATATCAATTGTGTCACAAACATTTGCCATTGTGCCACTAATATGTGTCACAAACATTTGCCATTGTGCCACTAATATGTGTCACAAACATTTGCCATTGTGCCACTAATATGTGTCACAAACATTTGCCATTGTGCCGCTAATATGTGTCACAAACATTTGCCATTGTGCCACTAATATGTGTCACAAACATTTGCCATTGTGCCACTAATATGTGTCACAAACATTTGCCATTGTGCCACTAGTATGTGTCAGTCTACTACTAAATATTGCATTTTGCCACTAAAATTTTTCTTTAACATTTACCATTATGCAAATAAGTATCAATGTACCTCTAACAGTTATGACTATTTTGAAAGTCGAGCTAACGAGTTCAATCGTCTGACGGCGCATTAGTTCGATAGTCAAGGCGCAGCAAATAGAAATCGAATGAAATCAATGATTAGAACACACACACACACACATACATCTATAGGTTGTGTGATGATCACTTACCAGACAAACGTTAAGAAGGTGAGGTGAAGAAAATATCCCAGGACAATTCGGGGCGACACGAACGGTCTACACTCCAGTCACTCCGACTTAAATATAGAGGGGGCGGGGCTTAATCTGTCAAATCTCTTTATCGGCTTTAAAGGCACATTACAACTGCTACAGACGACCCAGCTTTACTGGCAGTAAAGTTTATTATTAATGGATGACTAACGATAACCTTACTGGCAGTAAAGTTTATTCTTAATGGATGCCTAACGCTAACCCTAACCCAAATAAAATGGTTTTTCATTTTTACACTTAGAATCACCTGGAAAAATTGAAACGAAAAACACTTAACAGTAAACAAACCAATAGACAGTTTACATTAAACCAGAGGCGTAGCGAGGGCGGGGCGGGGGGTGCGGACCGCACCGGGTGACACCATTTAGGGGGTGACACCAAATGATTAATTAAACTTACAACTTTAATTACAACTATTACAAGAGGGTGGTGGGTGACACCATAACGTAAACCTGCTAACTATAGAGACTGTATTACTAGCACACTATAGATAAACATCGTTACTATTAAGTCTGCGGTGTTTAAAGCTCATACACATATACACAAGCATATACCCGTATGTGGCGTATATTTAAATTGTATATATATATATATATATATATATATATATATATATATATATATATATATATATATATACATATATATATATATATATATATTTACACTTTGTTTCTTCGGGGGGGGGGGGGGCTGACAACACGAAGTGCCGCACCGGGTGATACCCGACTTAGCAACGCCGCTGCATTAAACACGACTATAGAAAGTTTCAACACACCTATAGACGGTTTACATTAAACACCTGCAGACAGTTTATAGTAAACACATCTGTAAAAAGTTTACAGTAAACACACCTGCAGAAAGTTTACAGTAAACAAACCTGCAGACTGTTTACAGTCAACACACCTGCAGAAAGTTTACAGTAAACACACCTGCAGACAGTTTACAGTCAACACACCTGTGGACAGTTTACAGTAAACACACCTGCAGACAGTTTATAGTAAACACATCCGTAAAAAGTTTACAGTAAACACACCTGCAGAAAGTTTACAGTAAACAAACCTGCAGACAGTTTGCAGTAAACACATCTGCAGACAGTTTATAGTAAACACATCTGTAAAAAGTTTACAGTAAACAAACCTGCAGACTGTTTACAGTCAACACACCTGCAGAAAGTTTACAGTCAACACATCTGCAGACAGTTTGCAGTAGACAAACCTGCAGACAGTTTATAGTAAACACACCTGCAGACAGTTTATAGTAAACACACCTGCAGACAGTTTACAGTAAACACACCTGTGGACAGTTTACAGTAGACAAACCTGCAGACAGTTTGCAGTAGACAAACCTGCAGACAGTTTGCAGTAGACAAACCTGCAGACAGTTTGCAGTAGACAAACCTGCAGACAGTTTACAGTCAACACATCTGCAGACAGTTTATAGTAAACACACCTGCAGACAGTTTGCAGTAGACAAACCTGCAGACAGTTTGCAGTAGACAAACCTGCAGACAGTTTACAGTAAACACACCTGCAGACAGTTTGCAGTAGAC